GTTCTACAGAGGAGCACCTGGGTCCTCTCCCAACCCCCACTCAGGTCCCACAGTCCCACCCCCCACTTCTATGGGAAAGGAACCGGCCAGATGATTTTCCAAGGCATAATGAACAGTCTTTGCTTTAAGAGGTCCTAATAAACAGGTTCCAGTTCCTGAAAGAGAAGTTCGTGCCAGGAAGAAGGCAATCCTCTATTTAAGCCCTTGCTCCTCCCCCAGACTTGGATTTAAATGTGCATCGACTGAAATCCAGAAAGCAGTATTTCAAAAGTTGCTGGTGTAGTTCCAAATAGGTCACCCTCAGCAAACATTCCACTCTGGGCTTTCCAGAAACCACACACCAGAGTATAAAAGTTTCCCTGCCCTCATTTTACCTATTTGCCTCTAACCACACAACCAGATTTGAAATACTGGCAGAAAGGGAGGCGTTTTAGCTTACAACACTCGATTCCGTATGTTCCGTGGGATTTCTGTAGGTTGCCTCATTTTAGGGCTTTGGGGATTTTGTTTCTTGTTTCCCTGAGTTGAATTGAGATTTCTCAGTTAGGGGAACAAAGCCACACCCACCAGACTCACTGAGAATGGAGATGTGAGCTGAGCACAGGAAGGAATGTCTCTTCGGTCACCAGCTCCCAAGAGCATGAAGCAGAGTGTCCCCTCCACCCCAGTGAGGAAGTGCCACATCCTCTAGCAGTGGCCATTGCTGCCAGATAAGATAGCAGAGGAATTAAGATCGCAATCAAGAACAAATTGTTACCCAAGGACATTGTCCTGCCTGAGCATCTAGAGCCCACATTGAAATGGGGCAGTGAGGAATGGTCATTTATCAGACACGTGCTCCCACTCGCTTCAGTCTGCGAACAGGCACAGTCCTATAGACGTTGTGTGATCATTGGGATAAAAATGTGCACCAGACGTCCACTTGGAGGACAGGGGGCGACAGCCTGTAGGAAGTTCACTTCCATGAGCCTACGACTCATCTGGCTCCGTCCACACCAACCATCTGGTGGATATCTTGTCAATGCCATGACAACCTCCAGGCCCCGAAAAATACTCATTGTAATTAATAAACGCCGAGGGAAAGGAGAGATAGTTAAGTGAGACATATATTTTCCCATCGGAGTCATTTTTTCAATCCAGCAAATTGCAAATCCCTAGCTCTCTCGTGTGGCTCTCAGCTTATCTCCAAGCCAAACTGCACTGGCAGAAAGAAAGCATGAACCACGCACGCACGGGTTGGTACAAGTTAGGCAGTGCCCCAGCGCCCAAACCCAGGCAGGATTATTTTGCTGTGGCTGTCCCGAGAACCCTGTGACCTGGCTGTTGAGAACCCATCAGGCGAAGCACTCTGTGCTGTGCAGAGAAAAGAGAAAAGCCTGAAAATAGTGCTACATGACTGGGAGAGGATTTCTCGTGAATGTGCAGGTAATTATTATTTCCTTAACATTCCAACACTCTCGCCCAGACATTTTGGACAGTTATCATAAATGAGATTTAAGAACGTTTTTCTTCCTTTAGCGGGCCTCCTGATGGTTTCATGTCCTCCTGGACACCTTTCGGCTTTGAATTTTCATTTGTTCTGAGAAGTGCTGAGAAAGTGATTCGTCACTCTCCGTGTGGACGATTAGTGTGTTTTCCTACAGCTGTTGCGACTAATTTATCACGAGCAGGCCATCTCTGATCAGAATACTTAATTGTTGAGGCCTGATGACTGGACCAGTACTGAGGAACAGTTGGTCCCGCTTTTTCCATTTGTTTCTGCTCCTTTGCTGTGAGCTATGTTTGCTATACCTACCTCACTTCTTCCCCGTTCTTTCCTACCCTTTGCAAACATGTCTCATACCACCCGAGAGCTTCCTGCCCCCACCGTCATCCTTATGTTCTTATGACTGATTTGGGAGGTCACCTTTGTCCTCAGACAAACTTGGAATCCAACCCCAGGTGCCAAGCGAGATGGACTTTAATTACTCCTATTCTCTCCAAGAACCTCGGGGCTCTCTTGTGTTCAGAATCCCTGGCATGCCAGCTCAAGGCAAAATTCTTCCAGGGTCTCTAAAATTAGAGGCTATGATGAAAGGTTCAGGAGCAAAGAGGGGCTTGATCCCCACCATGGATCCATTTAGTAGTAGGAAGACCAGAAGCAGAACACCCTCTTGTGTCTTTCCAAGCGTGAGGTCCACTGGTGCTGTTTTCAGAGTGGTGCCTGCTGTCGCTGATTTGCAGCAGACTTTGCCCAGGGCCTTCTGACCAGTATAAATGCACTACTAGGGTGGTGAGCTAGCCCCAGGGCCAGTGGGACCCAGGACCATGCTCTATGGCACCCTCTCACTGTGAGCCAGCCACCAGCAGCCCCAAGCTGAGCTGCGCAAGGGGCGCCACGGGTGGGGGGTGGGGGTCTCAAGGTCTGTGCATCAGTCGCTGGCTGGGATTGGAAGGTGCCTTCCCGTAGCCGGGACTTAAGCTGTGGTTTGGATGTGCAATGGAAGGTCATCTCATCAGAGACACGTTCAACAAACACATGTGGAGCACCTGCTGCCTCAGGACGCAAGCTCAGAGCGGAAGGCAGAGAACTAGACCCAGTTCCTGCCATAGGGGAAACCTATCTCTTTAGCTCTGGGCAAGAGGAAGGTCAATCTCAAGTAAGATGACCCTCAGGACAAAAAATGTAGCAAGCCACCATTGCTTTTATCTGTGGCATGAGTGCTGTGTGTGTGTGAGTGTCTTGGAGTGGCAGAAGAAAGGAGAAGGCTGGTAGATCGGGCTGCGCCGGCACCGAACGGGTAATCCTTCCAAGAGGCTCGGGAAGCCAGCTGTAATTAGATATGTTTTTTCTATTACTTAAATTGAAACAACTAATTAAATCCTTAATTAATGTTTTTTAACTACCTTAGGATAAGAAGTGCCAGAGAAGTTATTCTAAGTGTTAAATATTCCCATGAAGTCCCAGGGAGCAGTTTGCTCCTGTGTTGACTCCAGAATCAGCTAGGAGGCTCCTGCTGTGAAGAGAAGTCATTTGAAACGCAGTCAGCAAGCTGTTTCAAGTACCCTCTTCCCCTTGACTTCCCCCAAGGTTTTCCCCTTGGCCTCTGTTAAAACTTTCATCCTTGACTTACCATCACCTTTGATCAAGCCCTCAGCTGCTTCAGGTTTTTGGGGAGAAAGCTCATTTAGAAGAGGAGTTTGCTTGGTTCTGGGGCCCTCTGTAAAGTAGCTAGCTTCTTTGGCACGGGCTGTAAGCAATAATGAAATTTCCCCTGCGGGGAGCATTTTCATCTTTAAAACCTTAGCAGTTCTAAAAGGACTGATAAAACGGCACTGAGAGACAGCCAGGCCAGCAGTAAGCTCTGCAGAACATTCACTTAATTTCCATGGTCTCTGACGCTTGAAGAAATTGTTAGGGGATGGGGTTTCCCTACCCCACGCTCTGTCCATCCCCCTGCCTTCCTCATGGTAAATCACCAAGGATGGCACTTACTGACTGAGCCCATGGATCATTCCAGCAAGACACATGGTTTAGAGACAAATGAGAGAGACTGTCTTTTAAAATTCCCCAGAAGTCCTCGGAAGTTTGCTTAGAAGGCCTAGAATTTCTGAAAGAGTAGGGAGAATTTTATTAGATCTTTATCTGGCAGGTGATGTCTCTCCACTTCAAACAGAGAGGATATTTCACATCTGGGAAATGTGGTAATGTCTTTTTTTATTATGCAGATGTTCACATCTGCAGACCCTTTCCCTGTGGGATTGCTTTCTCTTCCCTGGGTGAGTGCCTTGGCTCACCCCACACATTAAGTCTAAGCCGACTAATGACAGATGTAATCTCTCTAGGGACCACCATTTCCTACTTTGCCCCTTTATATTCATGTTTGGAAACATTCATATTAATATGTATGTGAATGCATTCAGAGAATATGTTTGGTAAAATGAATTTATTCATGTTAGTGGCTAGAAGACCACATTATAGAATCACTTAGAAACCTACGAACATATAAAACAAAAATTATTGGAAAGCTAAAATCCAAAGAAAGTCTTGCAGATTTCATTTTAGAATGCATTTCATTTTCTGTTGCTTTATATGTTCTCAAATTGGAAAACACAGCTATGTTTAAATCTACCAGTTCAGAAATGTACTCAGAATTCAGGATCTGGTTCAGGATATAATCAACTACATTTGAAAAAGAAAGAGGTAGTATAGATTATCTAGCGTAATGATCCTCAATCCTGGCCGCGTGGTACTAAATGTTGTGGGAGGGGCTTTCAAAATTGCCAGTGCCTGTGCTTCCCACCCAGAGTTCCTGAATTAGTGGAGCTGGGAGTGGGGTCTGGGCAGCTGGGAGGCCAGGGAAGGCCCCAGGGAATCTAGTGTGTAGCCAAGTTCGAGAATTCAATATACATGGCCCACCAACTTTTCTCATATTTAACAGGGTTCTTTTCCCCACCCAGCATACTCCACCTAACATAGCAGAATTGTTCTCTGGCCCAGAAGGTAAAGCAGTTCACCACAGTCACGGTGAAGCCAGATCTGTAGCTCCTGGGGAAGATGGCGGCTGGTACCACCTGGTACCTCCTCAGAGGGCCTACGGGGGCCTGTTCTCAGCCCCATCCCCTCTCTGCTCTGGGACAACTCCAGGCTTGGAGTTGGAAGCCCTGGCTAGAGTCGTCACTCCATTATTATGGCTCTGAGCAGCCTTGGTTAATACATGTGGGCTTTCCAGGCCTCTGCGGCCTCCTCTGTGGACTGAGGATAGTCATGCCTTCCCAGACTTCCCAGTGAGAAGAAAAAGGTGCTTGTGTACAGGTCTGCCCCCTATGCGGAGCTACAGAACCAGCAACTTTGTGGTGACCACTGTGTGCCTCTGGGGATCACCCCGGATCCTGAGGCCCAGGAAGTGAGTGAATGTTCGGGAAGCCCTGAGTGCGGTGCGGCTGACAATGATGCCGGGTAGGGGTCAGCCACCGTGCCACATAGGCCTAAACTGTCTGTCTGTTCTCTCCCACCCCAGTGCCTAGCCCCTCTTGTAATGGCTTCGATAGCACCCTTTCAAGGCCCTGCCGGGTGCCGCTGGGAAAGGAGGTCTGCTTCATCGCCACCGTTCGCCTGGCAACGCCCCAATTCTTAAAGGCAAGTATCGGGGAGAGAATTTTTCATGTAGAACTGGTACAACTGAGTCACATTTAGTTATAGCTAATGAACCATCTTTATGGGAAAGAATAAGACTGCAATGATGCTCTCACTGACTTTGAAAAGTTGAAATATCTGGCTTCTATGCCCGTGACAGGCCCACCTGCCCCTTGCCTTCACTCTGGTTTCCTACAAGCTGTTTTGCTGGAAGGCAGAGTCAGCTGCTGCTCAGCCCGGCTGGCAGAGAGGTTCATTTGCAACCCTGTCGACCCTCCTACCTTTTCCGCCAGCATTAATACCACTCAGGGCAGGCCAAGGTGGGAACCCAGTGTCAGAAGGAAAGGTTTGTCTGTATCCTCTGGCCTGTGATTGCTTTAACATCCGTGGCATGAACGTTGAGTTAAATTAGTCATTCAAATTCAGATGAAGAGCCATTTTCCACATGTTTACCACACTTCTAGATAATGGGAAGGGAGTGGTGTAACATTTTGGCTCTTAGGTGTTTTTCCCCAGCTTGTGAAATAAATTTAGTATCAGCTAATACTGAAATTAGCTACAGATGATGAGTTTCAGTCCAACACAGCTTGGAGACTTGCTCTCAATGATTTTAACTTCTGTTACCCTTCCACCATGCCTTTTTGAACAAACCTAGGGTGAGCTTCTGGCACCCTGAGCAACATTTTTTTTTCCCTTCTAATACAGGAAATGTGCATAGTTGACGAACCCTTAGAGGAATTCACTTCAAGGCATAGCTTGGAATGGAAATTTTTATTTCTGGATCACAGGTTTGTGAAAAGAAAAACATATTTGGGTTGGGTCCTTTTCAAGTGTTTGTCTGCATGAGCCAGGCTCTCCTTGGGAGAGAAAAGTCGGGCCTGGTCCCTTCAGGGAGAAGGGCTTTCTGGCAGCAGGAAAAATTATTCCCGGCCAAGAGTGAGGCGGCTTCCCTCCAATGCAAGTCGTCTGTGGATGTGTTCTGTGTTTGGGTCAGAGCGTCTTGGGAGAGCCAGGTGCCACAGCCCGGGGACATCCTTGGGATCCCTCACCCACCCCTTGGGACCCTCTCCAGTTCCCAGGAAGGCAGGAGCAGATGGGAGAGAAACTTGACATCTTATTTCTCTCAACACCCTTTTGTCCCTTTAATTCAGTTTTCTTTCTAAGGGTGAGAAATCTCCCCTCCCTACCCTTTAACTTTTTATTACGCTTTGGGATTGGACTGACCCAATCTATAGCTGTTTTTAAATTGTTCAACAATGATAAAATTTATTATTATTTAACCCAGGTTATGCCAATGAAACCGACTATCTTAATGCCAGAAAGTCTGAGCACTTTGGAAAAAAACAGCCTCTCTGGTTTGAACCATTGCAAAATTATTTTCCTGCCCTTGTTGTTGAGAAATGAGGCCTCTGTGTTGATCATTAAATGTGTACAGTGTCCCCTCTCTGGATGGAGGTGCTGCCATTGTGAGTCAGGCAGGGTCCTTGCTCTCTGACCAGCTGTACCCTTTGCATGGCAGAGCCCCTCCGATCATAGGATACCTGCCTTTTGAAGTTTTGGGGACCTCGGGCTATGACTACTACCACATTGACGATCTGGAGCTCCTGGCCAGGTGCCACCAGCACTGTGAGTACCCCACGTCCAGCCCCAGGGCCCAAAGGCCTCCACGGAGCCCCGACAGCAGGACTCTTGGGCCCTGGAAGTCGGTTTATTACTTGGTTTCTTTCTGAGAAGGAAAACTTTGTTTTCTCCGAAATGATGTAGGAATGTGGTGAAGGTCCTTCTGTGGTTTGCCCCGGCTTGTGTTTCTACCTGGAATTGACTTTGCCCCGCCTCCTCCCATCTACCCTCACCCCCCCAACCAGCACCTGCCCATACCCTTCAGATATGCAAGCTATTTTAATCTGACAGAAGAGAATATACAATGATGGTCATTTTTTCTAAGTTATGCAATACATTTCGAAGACAAAATACTAATTCAACATCACTGCTTTTTGTCAAGAGACATATATTGGTCACAAGCTATGGGCCAGGTACTGAGCTAGGCCCGGGACATAAAGATGATCAGAATCTCCTTGCTGTTCTGCAGGAACAAGGTCTAACAGAAAAGCAGAAATAAGTGACATTATAGGATGCTGTCACTGCACTGGGGGGATGTGTGCAGGATATTGGGGGCTCACCCAGCTGGGGGAGGGGATCAGAGAAGGCTGTCTGCCACAGAAGAAGACAAGAGGTAGACAGAGGAAGGGGAGGTAGGACTCCTGATGGGGAGAGAGGCCAGGCCTGTGGAATCAGAACGTCCATTTTAACAAGACCCCCGTCCCCAACAAGTGATTCGTGGGCCCATGAAACTTTGAGAAGCAGGATTACCTCAAGCCTTGGCTGCTTCTGACCCTTCTAATGGAGCAAGGCCACCGTGGGGGTAGAATTCCCTTCACAGTCGGAAGGACTTGGCCCAGGGCTCAGGCCAGACATTCTCCCTCTGTGGAGCCCACGCCCCTGCTCAGCCGGGCTTCCCACCCCTTCGGAGATCATTGTCTCCAACACAGTGGCTCTCGTTGTCACTTTAGTTTCCCAGTTGTGGTATCTGTTATGCGTTTGCAGAAAGAGGTACTAAATCACAGGTACTGAGGCAGTGACCCAACCTGTCCTTCCCTAGAGCCGCAGTCCCAGCCTTCCGCCCCGCGCAGGCTAGTCCTCCGACAGCACCCATTCTGTTCCAGCCCTGCCCCCTCCCCCCGGAAAAGCCCACCAACAGACTTAACCCTAGGGGGCTCCACGCAGCCCCACAGCAGTGGGTCCCAAGCTTAGGACTGCGTAGATGAAGCATGACCTGCTCTCTGGCAGCCGCCGAATCCATGTGGAGGGTGTGGGCTGTCAGGTCTATCCGGGCCGGGTTCTCCCAGTGTCTGGATTGTCTCTCCTGTGCTCCGCTCCTGCCGCAGGCAAACCCGGGCCTCTTTGTCATGAAACACCGGTTTGGGAATCTGCCCTTACCTGAGGCTCTCTTAAGCCTGTGAGCATCTGGGGAAGCGTGCAGATGGGTTTTGCCTTATTTAAGAATTCAATAACGTTTGCCGGGATCTTGATAGTCCCTTAAAGTACGGCACACCTGGAGAAGAGCACGCCGTTTGGCATGGTGTTTCTGAAAACTCTTCTCCAACAGTACCTTCTGGGGGAGAGATCCTTGTCATATCCACGTTTGCTACAGGCAGTCCGTTTTCTGCCCACAGTGATGCAGTTTGGTAAAGGGAAGTCCTGTTGCTACCGGTTTCTGACCAAAGGGCAGCAGTGGATTTGGCTGCAGACACACTACTACATCACGTACCACCAGTGGAACTCCAAGCCCGAGTTCATCGTGTGCACACACTCGGTCGTCAGGTGAGGGGGGCTGCGAGCGCCCGCGGGTAGTCCCAGCTGCCGGGGAGCAGGCGAGCCCTGTGCTTGGATTCCTCCGCGGGGCCCGGGCTGTCCTCTGCGGTTCACAGAGTAGTCTCCAGAGTTCACCTTCCTTCCAGGGACACACGCGTCTCTGTTCCCCAACCCTGGGCTGAGGCCTCGGTGTGTCCCTCCTCAGGCTGCCAAAATGTGACTTAGTGAGTTACTGCTTCAATGACCTACTTCCACATTTTCCCCTCATCTCCATCCAACCCCCAGCCTTCCCTTGTTACTGTTTGGAGAAGAAAATTAAAATTTTTCCTCTAAGTCACTCATAGACCTAGTCCCCTCTATTTTTAATTCATTAAAAGCCCCTGCTGGCAACTGAGGCAGCACTGGGAATAGAGCCTGGCTGCCAGGGGGAGAGGGTTCCTGGTGGCCTCGAGGAGCCCCCATCCCAGGGTGGGTGAGCTGAGCGTCCCAGGGAGGCCGCCTGTCCAGCCTCTACTAGACGCAGGTTCTGTAGGGTCACAATTCCCAAAGGTAAAGGAGAAATGTCATTCATGGGTTTTTTCCCCCTAACACAGGAATTTTAAGGACATCAGTCAGTTTAAACTGGTCTAGTGAAGAGCATTTGAGCAGAGCAAAGAAAGAAAGGTTATCTATATTGTAGGTATGTATGTATATATACATGATAGATAGATGATAGATAAATGACAGGTCGCTATAGGTACATATAGATACTATACATATATACCATGTTTTATAGAGATAAGAGATAGATGATTGAAAGGTGACAAGTAGGCAGGTAGGTGGGCACATAAATCATACCATGTACACACACATGCATGTATGTATACAGTCAACAAGTAAATCTCTCTTTTAATAAGTGGGGAGAAATGCTGGTCTTTCTTGCCAGTGACCCTGACCATAACACCGCATGTCACTCTTGGGGACTTGATCTTAGTTTCTCAGCCCACCCTTGACCACTTCGGCAGCCAGTGGTTTCCAACAACATATGAGTCCCACCTACCACCACCCAGCCTGGGCCTTGGCCACAGGGTCCTTTTGCCCCCAGTGAAGGCTGGACATCATCAACATCTTGGTCTTCAGACTCTGCCCTTGACCCTGCTCTTCCTCTCCATCCTCTACCTCCCAAATCTTAGAAAGCAACTCTGAGAGAAAGTAGGGAGTAAACTAGTTAGTAAATAAGGTAACAAGCATTCCAGAGGCCCCTTGAGACACTGTCACTTGCCAGGGCCCCGTGGCCAACCTGTTCCTCCACACATGAGGCAGAGGCCAGAGCTCGGGCCCTTCGGCCATCACTACAATGGATTGATTTCCCCATGGTATCTTAAAAGTGGGCCCACAGACAAATCAGGGCTCTGGGGCCAGCTATCGATTTGTTTGTGAGAAAAATTTCAAAGGTTGTAATTACTAAAAAAGTCATGTGTCATTTCTCAGTACGTACAATCCAGACTGAGTAGGTTTTAAGCAAAGCTTCTGATTAGTCAAAGGCCACACCTTATCCTGTAGATGAAGATATGTTTCTAAAGACAATTATGCTTGGAAGTTTCAGGGCATGGGGAGAAGATAAGTAAAGGAGAAGGGAGTCAAAACATCCTGGAACAGAAAATATTTTGGATGTCTCATTAGAAGTCACCCCAGTGGCAGTTAGGCACAGAATGAAACTCCTTCCTCAAACAAGTGACAAGACTAGCTTAGCCTCTGTCATGGTGACGATTCTGGGGTGGGCGTCATAGGCGTACCTCGATGTATCACACGTATGCCCTTCGCTGTTGCCATCTGGAACGTCCCACCTCCAGCTGTGGTCTCTTGATTTCCTGATCAGTTATGCGGACGTCCGGGTAGAAAGGAGGCAGGAGCTGGCTTTGGAAGACCCACCGCCCGAGGCCGTCCACCCTGCGGCACTAAAGGTACGCTAATCTCCGCCAGATGGCGAAAGGCCATGTTTGCCTACGTAAGTTCTTCCATGAGTTGTTACAATCAAAGTAGTCACATTTTTATTTGTTATGTTCCCGGTACTATTCAACACGTTTCTTGGGTTTTCTCTTGTTTACCATCATGATACTCCTACGCGGTAGACGCTATGACTGTCCTCGGCCTTCAGACAAAGGACAGAAGCACCCACAGGATTTAGCTCCTGTACCTGAGGGCGCTGAGGGTTAGAACTCACAGAGCTCTGTAAGAAACAGCCCCTGGAATCGAAACATGATCTTGGCAACTTGCCATCCTTATGAGAGCAGCAGTAATAAATCCACCTTGTATCTCTCCCACAGATAATAAGCTAGGGGTTTATTCCGTCGTCCCTTGAGCTGTGGAATAATTGGTGTGCCCTTGTCCTCCCTTAGCCTAAGGGCTGATGCGTTCCCTCCAGGACCCAGGCCTCCCACGAGGAGACTGCCCCTCACCCACCCTCCATGTCGTCCATAGCAAGGTGCACTTTCTACTTCTGTGTCTACAGGTCTTAGTTAACAGCCCTGTCGGAGCCATCTTCGTGTCAGGGAGCTCTGCTAGGGAGGGGTGTTCCCCTCCACAAAACCTCACCTCCATCCTTCCTCCATGGGCAGCTCTCAGGTCCCCTCCAGCCAAGCTCTCCCTACCTTCCCTCCTGGTGTGTCAGACAAGTGGAGGGAAATGTGCAAGCAGACCAGAGGCCTGTTCCTCAAAGGTCATTCTTCAAGCAGATGCACATATTGGGAGAAAAGTAGAGAAAGCAAGGGAGGGAGGGAGCGTTGTATTCCATCAAAGCCAAGAAGCTATCTGTTATAAGAGCCACCATTATTTATCTCCCACTAAGGAAGAGAAAATGCTGTCACCAGTTCATCTGTGAAATAAGGACTTCTTTTCATCAGTCGGAAGGCACATCCAAATTTCAGATATGTCAGAATGTAGGGATGGAAAGTGTCTCTTACCGTTGGTGACATGTGGTTCGAGTTCCAGGCTGCCCAGCGACCTAGAATGCAGAGACTTCAGCCAGGAGCTGCCGCAGCAGCAGCGGTACAATGAAACATCTCTGGTCCACGAGAGTGGGGTTGGTGGGAAGGAGAAATCACCCGTAAAGCCAAGAGAGCAGCCCGTGTCTTGGGCAAGCCTCCCCTACTGAGTTGCTACATGGTGATGTGATGTGTGGTGATCTGTCACCAGCGCCCTGATATGACACACCTGTCATTGTTTAAGGACGTGTTTATTACCCAGCTCTGTCATATGATGCATCATAGATCGTGTCCAAGAACAGAACTAAGCTGTTCGTAGGCAGGGGTGAGCCACACCGTACATCACGGCTCACGTACGGGCACAGTGTACATCATCCAGTTGGAAATGCATTCTTGAGCTTTCTGATCCTTTGGACATCCTAGAACCCAGGGGAACTTCTCATAAACATGCACATATGTATAAACACACAAACACAATCTTGGGCTGCCCCTTTTAAAGGAAAAGCTCCAAGACAGTGTTTTTCAAACTATCAGTGGTAATGGACTCTTCATGTGTTTAATTTCAAATCTGTCACTGACTGATGCTTTTGTAAAATGAAGATTCCTGTGCTTGGGTGTGATGTGCAGCTCCATCCGATGGCTAGTAAAGTCTCTCAGGGCTTACTCTCACTGCTGTCCATATTTCTCTGCTGACTAGGAGCACACAACTGTCAAGCAGCTGTGAGCCAGGACCCCTGCTCCAAAGGGTGTGTCTAGGGGAGACTGGGCTAAGCAGCGGCATCTCTGAGCTGACATTTAGCACAGCAAATCCAGGCACATCCTGTAATTCTGTTTTGCACGAAGAACGATAGGTCACACATCAGTCATTTCAGTCCCACTCGGGCACACACACAGTACCAAATCCCTGGAGCTGTGACCTGAAAGACAGAATAGCCATGTAGGCTCACACCCAAGGGATGCCAGGAATGTTGCCATCCTCCTGTGACCGGATAGGAGCATGGCTCAGGAGAGCAGGCATTTTGTTTCTTCTTTAGCTTAAAAATTATCTTAATGCCTGTTTTACACTTAGGACACTAAGCCTTCCCGGATGGAAAAATGGCTTCTCAGGGTTGGAAGGGCACCGTTGTTTTCTCATCACACAATACTGGAAGCAGGGGTATCCTGGGATCCAGGAATCAGTGGTTGGGAGATCATTGGCCCTTTGCCTGTTCTCCACGTCGGGGCTCTGAGGCTGCTGAGGAGAAGCAGTGGGGAGACCAGGCGGGAGGCGCTCCGAAGGGTCCAAAGGCATTGGTTTCATCGGAGTGTTAACAATCCAGCATACCCAGCAACCTCATTTCTAGAACTTGCGTCTTCTCCCCTTCTGGAAAAGCCAAGATTCTGAGCAGTGAGATGACAGTTTGAAGGAAAAAATAAAATGCAACATCAGTTATGAAAATCTAAAAAATCAAAATCCAAGGTGAGAAAGCATAACAGTTCCTACTTATATAAGGCCACCAACCTCTCAAAGATGCCCAGATGATACACTTGTACAAATATTCTACCCCAGTACATCGGGACTTATTTCCAAACGGTTCCCATCTTTCTCCCTACCCCCTCCAAATTTTTCCACATAGAGGAGAGCTAAAGTCCCGTCATTCATTCTCCTCATCTCGATGCTGAAATTGTGTGGACTCTGTGTGTGTGTGTGTGTATGCGTATGTGTTTAGGACAAGAGCTCCAGCCTGGACCCTCAGCAGCACTTTAATGCACTTGACGTGGGCACCTTGGGCCTTAACACCAGTCACTCGCCATCAGCGTCCTCCAGAAGTTCCCACAAATCCTCGCACACGGCCGTGTCAGAACCCGCCTGTGAGTGAGCTGCCATGGATGGCGAGGGGGTGGGTGCCCCACCTGGGGCAAGGGTGGGGGGTACGTGGAGCCCGGCAAGGGGTCCCGGGCCTGAGCAGAAAGAGGGTAGTCCGTGGCTACGGAGTGGAAGCTGCCTTCCAATTCACACTCCTTCTTGCTCCCTTGCCCTTGGGCTTCCTGCCCTCCCCTTCTCCCTGCTCCCCCAACAGACAGAAAGCAGGGGACACGCACTTCCTATAGCCTGGCTGGGCTTGAGTGACTTTGGGAGTTGGGAGATCAGGCAGGTAGTCGAACCAGATGGTGGACATGAGCCATGGGGATGGTTTTCTGTCATCTGCCTGCTCCCAGGTGAGGCTGGAGGCTGACAGAACTTGCTGGACTTTCTTTTGTCAGAGAGCCCAACCAGGCCCTTGTCTCATGTACACCATAGTCATGTTTCCCCTCTTTTGATAAGAAAACTGGTAAGTATGTGTGAGTCAGGAAGGTGACTGGTTGCTTTCTTACAGCTACTCCAAGCAAGCTGATGGCAGAGGCCAGTGCCACCACTTTGCCAAGATCGGCCACGCTGCCCCAAGAGCTCCCCGTGCCAGGGCTCAGCCAGGCAGCCTCCATGCCGGTATGCATGTGACTCGAAACTTCTCGGCCAGGGGTGCCCCAGTGGCTAGATCCCAGGACAGCATGCTTCCTCTTCCCAGAGAACCAACTGTACCTGGACACTGAGAGTGTGGGGTGGTGGGCAGGAATGGGAAGCTAGGTCATTTAATTAGCAACTAATTGGAAACGCTTTTCCTCCAAAATCAACACAGCTGTATAATCAAAGAATGCAAAATCCAAATGAGTTTTAAAGATTAAGCTGGAAACCTCAAACAAGGGGTCACACCCCCGAGTCTCTGAGGGTACACGGGACCCTTCCATTGTGGGCCCTGTTTCACCCCAGTGGAAATGTTTGAGATATCTGTGTCAACAAAAATGTACCTCTGCATATATCAGGCAGGGTCCCTGATCTACACCAGACCTCTCCAGAAGGTCATGGAATGAGCGGCCTTTTAGGAAGGATGCTGGCTGTATGCAGAATCACTGATGTACAATTCTATGGTAATCTGTTTTCTCGTAAGGGATCACCTCAGACTTAAGGGTGTAAAGCAAAAGTCCTTTCTCACATTCACAGGATTCAAAACTAGCATGGGGGGGGTGGTGTTCTGACTCCTCTCTGCTGCCTGGTATCAGAGGCCCCACTAGCCTGGGCTGGGAAATTCACATTCCAGGTGTATCTGCGCTCACATCTGCCCCCTGGGCTGGGAGACAATTCACCCGGCACTTACATGGGCCTCCCCCTATCTTAGAGCTAAGCTTCTCTAGGCATGGCGACTGGGTTTCAAGAAGAAATGTCTGGGGAGGGGGCTTTCCATGAGAGCCAGGCAGAAGCTCCGTGGCTTTCTACAACCTAGCCTTAGAAGCCCCACTGTGTCACCTCTGCCATTCCTCTTGGTCAGAGCGGTCACAGCTCACCCACAGAATTGGACATAGACCTCCACCTCAGGATGGGAGACGTGTCCCAGAATTTCAGGAGCCACATCCAGATCATTGCCAACTACCTCATACCCATCCCTCACTGACATTTTGGGGATGGGAATGAACATACCACCTTCCTACTTGCCCTCTCCATGCATGCCCTACTTGGAAAGCTTGGGTGACGAGTTTTATTTTCAAATCAAACATGGCAAAGACCATGAACGTCATTCTTCCAGCACTTGGCTGTCCAATAAAACTACTTTCTGCCACTGATGAGGACACAGTTCTCGTCCCTTCTTGCAGTGCTGGGGATGCAATCAGGAGGCTCCAAACCAGATTCTGGGTGTCCCTGTGCCTGGGATTTCTCCCTCAGAACCTGGCCTCCCAGTGTTGTCCGGGGTGACACTTCTTGTTCGGGCTGCTTTCTGTGGTCCCTAGTGCCTGAGGACAGTTTGGGAAGAACTTCAGAAGAGTCCTTGGACTTTTCTTTCTAAAACTCTCAGGAGCCCATGAAGGTGAAGTGTTTCATTTCTTGTTTCTACACATTGTCTTGCCACCATCCCCCTGCCCTGTCCTGAGTGATCAAGAAACAAAGGCTGTGAGTCGGCTAACTTTCAGGCATCTCTCGAGCAGATTCCAGACAGAGTGTGGTGAAACAGCACCAGTATTCACAGCCTGGAGGAATGAATGGATACGGAAATGCAGGGCACTAATGCACGTCCGTCTGCATGCGTGTTGGGCAGAAAGCGTCAGGACCGCACACAAAGCCAACACTGGCTATTAGCACAACCCCATTCGTACAGCTCAATGACACTGCTCAGAATTGATTAGTTTGGGAGAAGAGCAACCAAATCCACCAAGAATGGAGTCTAGAACAGAAGGAACAGAGGCAAGGGGGTTGGGGGTGGAGCCGAGCTGCAGAGCTCCAGCACATGGCGATGGCCTCGCAGGGCCCATGGTGGCGGGGAGGCATCATGGACCCCAAGGGACTCCAGGACCTTGTCAAGAGCACGCTGCACCCTTCACCAGCTATGTGTCAGCTGGGACTCCCTATCTTGCAAGGGCAACACCATAACCTACCTTCTAGAAGTAAGCTCTTCATTCTTGGGCAGAGCACCTCCTTCAACCCAAAGAACCCAGCTGACTAAGAGCACCCATGGACCTCTGGAACGGCCCAGAAATGGTGTTTGTTAACAAACCCCCTCTCTCCCCCAGGCTCCCCTGCCAGCCCCGTCGTCGTGTGACCTCACACAGCAGCTCCTGCCCCAGACCATCCTGCAGAGCCCCCCTGCCCCCATGACACAGGTGAGTCTGGGACTCCGGAAAAGGGAAAGCTCGTGGTTGCCCTTCCCCCAAGATGTAACACGTGGTAGCCCCTTGAAGGGGAACGTACGTGCTTGTGCCGAAGTATATGTCCAATCCAAGATCCTGAGATGGGGAATGTTTCTCCCCACGAGCCTGTGGGTCATGACGAGATGTGAACTCCGTCCTATACCTGTCCCCTCTGGCTGTCATCATTTCCTTAATCTTCGTTCATCTCTCTGCCACTTTTCTCCGTTCCTCTTACTTTTTATGACTCCAAATTGGTTATGTTATTTTAGGAAAAGTTGAAATTGGGCCAAATGTCATAGGGAGACAGCAAAATTATAAGAGCTGTGAGTCCAGTACTATAAATATCACATTAGGGTATTTTTTTTTTTTTTTTTTTTTTTTTTTTGGTAAAGGATCATGGTTTTGCTGAGTAATTCCTTCTTTGTTTCAGCAACAGTCAGTGAGTTACTATTTGAGTCGGGGAGTGAGCAAGCGTGGGGGGCCCAGAGGTGCTTGTAACTCAGCCCTTGCTGTTAGTAGTCATGGTTCAGGGGAGGGCTGGGCATATAAACAGACCTAGGAGAGGATGCGTGTTTGCAGAACCAGTAAGAAAGTAGCCCATCCCCCCACCCCAGGAGGTGTTGCCTGAGCTGGGCCTGGAAGAATGGGGAGGAGGTTGCCAGCTGGAGGGTCCACAGGGCTGAGGGTCATGGGATCTGGGTCTGGGCTTCGGCAGGGAGTTTGGGGCCAGTATCCACCCTGCTTGAGGCCTGGCAGGGGCTGAATCAAGCCGCAGTTCATTTATTCCGTGGCCTGGGAGGGCGGTGGAGCTGATTGGCCTACACTCCATCTAGGCCAGCATCTGCTTTCTGTTCCTTTTTGGGGTCTTTAGCTTGGTCCCACTCTCTCCCCACAAGGGGGTCCCAGTAGTGGCGGTTCACCAAACGGCCGCACTCTTACAGAAGTGTGGACTTCTGTGTCAGTGCACACCTGTCACCGCTGATGAAAACTCTTTATGACATATGTCCCCCTAACAGTGGTCTCAAATGCTTTCCTGGAATAAGAAAGACACCTGCTAGCACGTGCTCCTCTCTAGAGTTAAGCTGGGAGGATGTAAAAACAACTCATCCAGAGTCAACTAATTAAAATCGTCTATATTCATCCTCATTAGGAAAAAAAAATTCTCTTTAAATTTCCAAGGCACATTTGGTATGAAATTAGTAACTTTTCTGATCCAAAGACACCTAAAATGAGAGGCCCTCTAACTTCCGGGCCTTGCATATGTGAAGGAATGTCTTTGTTTTATAATGCATAATGGTGTGATTAAGGTCTTCTTCAAATTCTATTTTTTCATGTATGGAACATCACTTTAATTAACAATAACAGTTCTTGGTCTGTTAGGTATATTAAACTTAATAATAACCACATTCTTTAAGACATTCTTGCATAATGCTGACCTTTCAAGTCAGACAGCTGTTTTCGTACCTGCTCTGTGTAAAACAATGGATTCTACCATTTTCTCTCTTCCCATTCAGGGATGTTATCACTCTTGCACCCTCTCACAGAAAGGGAAAAAACAAAATCCAAAATCTGAGAAATGGTTATCTGGGTAACTGGTGGTTTTGCTTCCATACTGTTTTTCTAAAATGTCTGTAAGTTAGCATCAAGGTCTTTTCAAAAAGGCCATGATCAGAAATAGAATAAGAGACTAATGCTTGGGTGTCCTGGAATGCCTTAAGAAAATCAGGATGATACTAGAAGTATTTAACACTTAGGAAGCACAGTGCCCGCTCCTCCCTGACTGCCCAGCCCCCTCCTGCTTCCTTTTGGAGCCAATTGGGCAACCCGGAGTGTCCTCTCTACTGGATGTGAAAGGCCTAGCCCCGAGTGTTTCCTGACTTTGTAGGACCCGCCACGGAAGCTTTTGTGTTGTGTTGTGTTGTGTTCTGTTTTGTTTTTAATTTCATACCTGGTAGAACTCCTTACTTTCTCAATCAAATTCTCTTTCAAAAAACCCAGCTCAGTGTTTTGATCACTTACATTCTGTTGAAGTTTTTGCTGATACAGTCTGGCAGGGCACAGGTATTTTTAAACTCATGTTGAACAGCAGAACTTTTTATTTTAAATGAAATCTGAAGCCAGAGATGCTCTGATTGAGATGGAACTGGGAGGCGGGGGAGGTGTTGCTGGCAAAACCTCTTGGCCTCCCCCAGCTCCCTAGGCTTCCGATTCACATTCTGGCCCCTACCACCTTCTAGCTGTGTGATCCTAAGCAAGTCACATGTGTGACTTGGGGGTATGATGTGAAGAATTGGTGTCCTGCCTCTGCTGACCTGGGGCCATGACCAGCAAGTGTGGGTCTCTGCAAACTGCAACATCTGCCTTTATTAACCATACTGGTTCTTTTTATTTATTATTTTGCCACTCCCTAAACTGTGGTCAGCTATTCCATCCTTCAGTGTATCCCAGCTGTACCCTAAGCTCTCCCGGCCTCCTTACTTTCCCACTATGGGAGGTCAAAGGGCAGAGGAAGTGTCTCTGGAGTTGTTTACAAAAGACAAAGGCAAGAAATGGACCAGGGAGATTGCTGGGACAGAGATCAAGGGAATGGAAGTTAAAAAAAAAAAAAAAGAAGGCAGGGAGGAGAAGAAGATTGGGAGAGAGGGAGGGAGGAAGGAAGGGGTGAGCAGAGAAGCCCCAGGCAAGCAAACACGAGAAACAGAAATTACTGAGTCCCCTGGGGAGCCCAGAGCAGGAGTCCCGACCTCACGGCCATGATCCCACACTCTCCTCGTGTTTCCTGCAAGGAGATGACTTATGTCAAGGTAGACAGGTAACATGGGGCAGGGATCGCCTGTAGAATCTTCCTAAAGCCAACCTCTGTCCCAGGAAAGGGGTAAGAAGTGAAAGAAGGGGCAGTTTGGCACTCTTGTGCAAAGCACTTATCAGTGTTCCTCCTTTAATAAGGTCGCCCTCTGCCAGTGTTACCCTCAGGACAAACGTCAGGATATTGTACGCCTTTGCCTCTTTTTCTTAGTTCTTTTGTGCACAGATTTCCAAGAGGTTCATAGGAGCAAATAAGCCTGGGGGAGGGGAAGGGTGGGACAGAGGGTAATAAGGCCTCCGTGGCCCAAGCCGGTTAGGAGAGCAGGCCTCCCTGCCTGCGGAGCACCCCCTCCCCGCCGAAATGTTGGAGTCAAGTTCATTTGTGAATTGTTATGGAAGAGCCCTGCTTGCCACGATCAGATTTAGGACAATGATAGGACCCTGGATTGCCTGTGAACTGGCATCTGCTCTCCCGTGCGCTGCTTTTGACATTTGTCTCCAAAACCACTTGTCTGTCTAACCAAATTTGGAATATCATTTCGTGAGCGTTGCTTACTTACAAACTCAACGTCCAGATTCTGTGGCCCTCCCAGACTGCCCTGCCATACATCAGACCTGCAAATTCCAGTGGGCCTTGGAATAGCCCACACGGGGACCCCTGGAATGCCCGCCCCTTGTCCAAAGCCCCTGTGCGCTGCTGAGCTCCCCTGCAGTGAGTCTCTCAGTAGGGACACCAGAAGGGGTGGGTAAGGGACCGGAAATGAAAGTGGGCCGGGCTGCTCAGAACAGCAGCAACATCTGTGTGCAGGGCTGAAATCACTCTTTCATCTGGTTGTGTATTTTGACTCCACCTTCAAGTTCTCAGCGCAGTTCAGCATGTTCCAGACCATCAAAGACCAGCTGGAGCAGCGGACACGGATCCTGCAAGCCAACATCCGGTGGCAGCAGGAAGAGCTCCACAAGATCCAGGAGCAGCTCTGCCTGGTGCAGGACTCCAACATCCAGGTGATGCCCCTTCCTGAGCCAATGTCTGCCATGGCCTCTGTCCTCCCTGCTGCCCTGCGACATACGTACCCATCCTTTCACGGTGGGCAGGACTCCTGCCAAAGTCCATCTGTACTGCCCTGATGAGTCCCGCTTACTAAGCATATTGAAACCCCCAACACCAAGGACAAGGAATGAATCCCACCTCCTCCATCCCCAACTCCAGGCCAAACTTGAATTTCATATGACTCCACCCCATTTACCCCTTGCTCTGTTGGGCACATAATGTCTATACATCCCTTGCATTTTCATTCATAAGTGGTAGTTGATCACCCTGCACTGATGCTGGCCTCCCCCGTGGAGTTATAAACCCCCAGCACCTGTGTAACTGCAGGGGTTGCTGGTGGGGAACATGGACGTGATCATGCTGTTGTCTCTCATCCAAAGCGCTAATGGAGGGAGATGTGGGAAATGATGAGATCTGCACCCTGCACCGAGGGGGGACAGCAGAGGGAGCTGAGGACGGGAGGTCAGCACCAGGCCACCCCGTTTGTGCATGCCCATTGTGGTACTCTGCATGTTCTGACAACAGCAGCTTTTAACCGTGACACCGTGCCCCAGAGGTCCCCTCCTTGAATCCTTTTGAGAGATTGTGTTTTGAAGGAAAGCTGTATATACTAGATCTCTTTCAAGGATAAATTATTTTTACCAAGTTTCACCTGGATAAGTCCAAGGCTATTTTTCTTCCCAAGTGCATTCTTTTGACCCAGGATCTAATTGTGAATGTAATTCTAGCTCACCTTGGGAGTCTGCCTTGAGAGCTCTAAGCATTTGCAACCCCCTCTTAGGAGAGGCAGAAGGAAGCAGGAGAGTCCCTGGGGAAAATGGCTGGAGCCAGGGACCTGCAGCTTTCCCGGGCACAGTCCACTCAGACCCTCCCCAGGGCGACGGGCAGGCTCTGTGCGGGTGCAGTGCCCAGCTGGTGCACGCTGAGATAATGCGTGATGGGGCGGCGTCTGCTGCCCGCCATAGTGCCTCCCGGGGGAGGGGGGGACCCCCAGAGGCACTGCTGGCCGGCTTTCCGGACACTCGGTGCCCTTGCACACACCCTCCACCTAGGGCTCGCTCATCACTGGAAGGACCGAGCCCAGCAGCACACGCACAGCCCCGCCTACTGGGCTAGGGGTGGAGCTTCCGGCCACGCCCACAGCCCGGCAGCTGCCCCGCCTCCTCGGCCGCACCCCAGAATGGACAAGGGAGAGGACCACCATGTTTACAGGAAAAGAGATGAAGTCATCAAAGTGTCAAAGTCCCTTTTTACTTACTTCTTCCCAGCCGTAATGTTTTCTCACCGATCCAGGGCCTGATTGGCAGAACTTGCCTGACTCCAATTACTTGAATGGAATTTTTACACTAACAGGAAGGGGAAAATTGAGCCAGAAAGTGCTAAAAGCAAGGTAGGCGTATGAACATCCTCCTCAAAGCCCGGGCTTTTCTATTTCCTGCCTTTTCCACATTCAAGCTGAATTCTAAAATAACAAACGACACAAGGTTATCTTTTTCACTCCTTGTTATAAAGAATTCTTTTTTTTTTCCTTTGTAACCAATGCATTTTGTTACCCCTCAAAGTGTATATGCCCACAGAGCACTTGAGTTTTGTAAGGGTTGATGTGGAAATCAAGACCTCCAATGTGTTCTTTCCCTGTTTTCATTCTTGTGACCTTATCTTTGCAGTGGAATTTTCCAAAGAACATGGAAATCCACAGATAGTCCAACCAGAGAACTTTTCTTCAAGCAGTCTTCCTTCTTACAGTTTTACAGGCTTACAGATTTAAAGAAATACATTCCAAAATGTTTAACCAAGATGTGATATTCGTTTTAAAAAAAAAGTGGTTCAAGCATAAAGAATAAGCAAGTAAAAATTACTCTGTCCCTTCCCCAAAAAGGTAGGAGGGGGGAGGAGAAATTAAATAAGAATGGCTAAATAAATAAATAAATAAATAAGAATGGCAAAATGTTGATAATTGTTGAAACCTAATGATGATACACGAGGTTTCCTTATACCCCTATTTTGTGTATTTCTAAGATATTCGTGATATTAAGTATTGGTAAAAGTAAGCAGATTAGAATAATGAGAAACCACATTTAAGCATACGATTGGTTTATTCTTAAAAATTAGAAGCTTTTTTTTCTTCTCTGATAACTTTTTCTATTTGAATTAGGGAGTTATTTTTCTCATACTTTCTATAAAGTTGACCCCGGTGCTGTTTAAGACATCATCTTCCTAAGCCATAATATTCTACTTTATTGTGGATAAAACAGAGAGGCATGGATGTGCACAGCAGCAAACCAGGACTGTTTCCCCAAAAATCCTTTACTCAAAGGTCAGTGGACTTTCCCACCTGACTTTAGTGCCCTGGAGCTTTCATAGAGCCCATGTGTGCATGTGATGCTTGCTGAGTATGATTATAAAAAAAAGAAAAAAAGATTGGGTTATCAGGGAGAGGTCCTCCAAGGTGTTGGTGTTTGTACCTAGATGGAGTCACGAAGGGCACTACTTGGGGAGAGCTGTTCTATGGAAAGGCTGTGTCATTCCCTGCAGTCCGAAGGATGCCTCTTGCTCTCTTTTTGAGAGTATGCGCGCCCTCTGCTGGCTACTCGAAGAAATGCCCGGACGGGCACTTGCAGCAATGGCAAATGTGTTCCCTGATTAGTTCTTTCAATCATCCATCTTCCCATCCTTTCTTCCATCCATCCATCCATCTATTCACTTATCACGCCTTCCTTCCATCTATTCACCCGTGCATCCATCCATTCATCTTTCCATCTTTCCATCCATCCTTCCAGCCACCCATTCTTCCTTCCATCCTCTCATCCACCCTCCCATCCCTTCATCCATCCCTCCATCCGGCAGACACCCATTATGTATCCACCACTTGGCTAGGCACTGTGGGAATACAGAGATACACAGGACAAGTAAAGGGTGCCTTCTACCCCCAGAAGACACACATCAACGAGACAGAGCAGCAGACTGAGCAGTCTCTGACATGACATAAGCAGAAACAGTTTGCCCTTCTCTGAGCAAAAGCCTCATTTATTTGTTTATTCATTCATTTATGCATTCCATTCATTCATTTCTTAGATAGTTTTTATATGCCCAAAGAGGCAAGAGAACAAAGATCTCCTTTTTTTCATTTTTTAAGGATTTTTTATTTATTTACTTGTCAGAGAGAGAGCACGAGGAGTGGGAGCAGCAGGCAGAGGAAGAAGCAGGCTCCCCACTGAGCAAGGAACCCGATGCAGGACTCGGTCCCAGGACCCTGGGGTCATGATCTGAGCTGAAGGCAGATGCCTAATGGAGGGAGCCACCCAGACATCTCTTTTTCATTTTAAATATTATTGTTGCTATCTAACATTGATCGAGTCCTGACTATGTCTCAGTATAAATCTTGCTTAATCCTTTATGGGCTATGTGCTCTTGATGTCACTGTTTTATTAACGAGGAAACTAAAGCTTTGAAAAATCATGAAAATTGCCCCAGGTCATACCATAGTAGACGTTGGGGGCTGGAATCTGAACTAACGTATGTGATTGAAGCCACATTATATTGCCTGTCATAAAGTTTGCATTGACTCAAAATCTGGTCAGAAGGTAAATTGTACCCTACCAAAAAAATATATGTTATGTAGTTTGAGTATTGGGTTTTTGCTGAAGTGATGAAGTGTAGGTCACCATATGTGCTATAGATAAGCCATATTATAATAGGGAGCTGGGAACACAAAAGTATTAATCCCCAGACGGAATCTAAGATGATGGATACCCAGAAAATTCTTCTTAACTTCTAAAGTGACAAAGAGCTCTCATTCAAAACCGCTCTGGGGGGGCCAGGGGTGGGGATGTGACTGGACAGTAGGGAGATGGGACTTGGTCCAGTTCAGCCAACCATGCACCCTGGGCCTCTGGGATCCCTGAGCTGGGATTAAAACCTCAAAGGCTGGAAAGAAGAGGGCCTCCCTTCTGAACTCTAAGCCCCAGGCCTAAAGGGAAGGCGGGTATTGCTTGTCAAGAATCCAACATGTTAGATAATGTCAGTTTTCAGTGCCCACGAGGAACTTAAGAGCTGGTTATAGGTTTCAGGTTTAAATTATGACTGAAAGTATTAAAGTTGCTCTTCTTAGACCTTTAGAATCAATTTACAGATTACGTTTGATTTACAAATCTACTAATTTGATCTAAAAATAACAGTGCTTTTACTTGTTTTTATTTATGTTCAGTTTATAGATTGAACAAACTAAATAATCAACGTATCCACAAAAGCCATTAATCTACAAGTTTAGTATATCTAAAGCCTTCAAACTTTCCTGGGCCTAATAAGGCCTTCTAAAGTATGCAAACTTTAGAAGTGAAATCTTTCAAAGCACTCAATTCTTTTAAATCAAGTACACCAGACTTACAAATGAGGAAGATAGAGGTTCTCACAAACACCCAAACATTCTACAAACTTGATCAAATTCCCTTAACCCTTTCAAATTAAGATGGCCAGGCTAACTTATCATATTGGCCTTCCTGGAAATGCAGTTACCTAGTTAATGGGAGCAGATCCGCCATCTCAGCTGGGAGCACTGGGCTGAAGGTACCAACCACAGGGTGGGTATACACCCTGGTCCTTGGCCTGGTCCTGCTTCCAGGATGGTGCAGCCCGTGGCACAGGTTAGCCCACCCTCTCCCACCAACCGTTCCATTCATGAGGTATTTCTCTCTCCTCCTAAGGATCCGAAAGGCCAGCCCAGACTCTGTACAAGTACATCAAGTCATTTATAAGCCATCTGGGTCTAAGCATCTTTCATCCTGTTGGACCCCCCATCGCTAGACCATAAGCTTCTCAAAGCCAGGGTCAGTGTCCTTCCAACCCCCTGCTCCATCTCCAGGGCCCTCGTGCTGTGCCTGCGGCATCATAGCCTCCTGATGGCCCCATGTGGAGTGAATGGGTTCTTCCCAGGCAGGTCAGAGAGAGCAAGAAAGCTGACCTCTTGCCGTGGACAGGAAATACAAAGAAGGTGCAGACACCACCTTGGTTTGTGAAGGCAAAGCCCCGAAGATGAAGGCCCCTGTGATCCCAACCTTAAAGGCCCTCCTTTTCTGCTTGCAGATGTTTCTGCAGCAGCCAGCTGTATCCCTGAGCTTCAGCAGTGCCCCGAGACCCGAGGCTCAGCAGCAAGTCCAGCAGAGGTCGGCCCCAGGCTCCCAGCCCCAGCTTGTGACCAGCCCTCAGCTTCCCGGGCAGATCACTTCTGCCCAGGTGGCGAACCAGCACCTGCTCAGAGAATCCAGTGTGATATCGACCCAAGTAAGTGTGCTCGTCTTCACACTCAATTCTGGCCCCCAAAGCAGACCAGGGCACGCAAGAGTTCTGCAGTCTCCCTGACCTGGAAACCTATCGAGCCATTCCTCTTCTGTGACCAGGGCTAGATGATGGTGGTGCAGGGATTTCCTTTCCTTATTCTAAGACACTCTGAAGCCCCAAGTTGTACTAGTTTCCTCCTGTGTTTTATTAATATATTAAAATACCTCAAAGGTATCCTGCAGCTGAAATTTTAGCTTTGATCCTTACCGGGGTAAGAGGGAGATCTGGGCACCCAGACACACTGACAGCCATATAGCCCCGCGTGTGTGTCCTGTGTCCTCCTCATCTGCTCTTGGTTTTAGCCATGTTCAGTGTGAGAACACAGGTTATCCACTTCCATTTGTTGTCCCTTTCCCCGGGGCCAGCATGCCCTTCCCTGTACCTCAGATTCCCCACCAGGCCCTTCCCTCACAGCCATTACCGCTTACTACAAGCCACCAGTGACCTTGCAAGCTGACAGCCACCCATCAATCAATGGCACTTGAATTGAATACAATTAAGAAGTCCTAAGCCCCTGCTTCTGGAAGATCAAAGATCGGAAGGCAAGATACAGCCTCTCCTCAAGCCTCATATTGGCATCCATCACCATGGGTCCAGTAAACATCTGCTCTGAGCCCCTCTCATTCACCATCCCCCAGGGGAACAGATGTGAATAAGACTGGCCTTGACTCCTCGGGGAATGTAAACAGATCATGTACAAGAAAAGGTGGGAAAGTACACATTTAAGAGTTTGGCCCATCTTCGCCCAGACTTAAGGGTTTTCCTTTAAAACGCAGCCTTTGGATTCTAAAGGTCAAGAGAAAATGAGAATAGACGAGAAGAATCTAGAAAAGAAAAAAACAAAACAAAACTGAGGAAGGACCTACACTAACATTGAAAGATTTCATGGAAGGTCAGAGGGTTAAAACACTGTGGTGCCATCATATGAATGGACAGTCAGTGAAACAGGGCAAAACCTAAAAAGCACAAGCAAATCCAAGCCCAATCCCTCATTCATTTATGATTTCACTCAACAAGTATTTGTCAAGTACTCACCATGTAGTAGGCACTAAGTTCTAAGCCCTGAGGGACAAGCAGTAAACAAAAGGGAAAAGAAAAAAAGTCTCTCTGATCCAAGTCAGGGGAGAGGCAAACAAGTAAAGATCACAACCTGTCAAGTCATGATGTGGGACCACTGGTGAAGGTGGAATGGTGGACTGGAGTTTTAACTAGGTGGCCTTCTCTAAGAGAAGATTGTATTTGAGCAAAGACCCGAGAGGATGAGAGAATGAGCCATACTGGTATTAAGGGGAAGAGCATTCCACGTAGAGGGATCAGCCAGTGCAAAGGCCCTAAGGCAGGAGTGATCCTGATGAGTTGGAGGGAAACAGCAAGGAGGTCCAGGTATCTAGAGTAGAATTGATGAATCAGAAGGTAGTTCGGTTCATGCACATTTTCCTGGCCTGCTGAGAACCTGACACTGTGCTAGGTCCAAGGGAATCAAGGAATCCTTGAGGTGCTTAGAAGCCAATAGGGACAGTCACAAGATCAAAATAGTTAAAAAAAAACAAAAACAAAAAACCAACTTGTGGGTCCTAAGTTAGAAGAAAGGCCAAGATGGGCCCTTCTGGGAAGGAGGGTTCCTGGAGCAATAACTCCAGAGTTGAGTCTGAATTTTACCTTTCTCATTAACACGATGGCTCCAGGGTCCAAGGCCAATGCGAAGCTCGCAGATGATGCAAGGAAGTGGCCACTCAGTGAGCAGCTTGACGCCCCAGTTCAGCAGCGCCGCGGCGGTGCTCCCACCAGCTCTGAGCCTGACCACGCTCGCTTCTGCCTCCCAGGACGGCAGCCAGTGCCAGCCCAGCCCAGACTTCAGCCATGACCGGCAGCTCAGGTACAGAGACTGCCCTTGTTTGAAAGACAGCTGAGGTGCAGGCTTTCCAGTGACCCTGTCAGCCTCCCTGCTGCTTTGGATGGAGGCAGAGTTCAGGTGATTCTGGCTAACAGCAGCTAGAGAGGCCCGGGGGCTCGGATGGCTGCACTCATCGTCCTCTGAGAGCAGAGCAGGCACCGTGGGGATCATGGGCAGCCAGAAGGGGCCCAGGCGGGCTGGGCAGGTGCAGCCCTCAGCCAGCGGGTCCACAGTTGGGGTGCTGATTCAAGTTTCCCATTTATCTCCCCCCTCTGCTCCAAGGCTATTGCTGAGCCAGCCCATCCAGCCCATGATGCCTGGGTCCTGTGATGCGAGGCAGCCCTCAGAGGTCAGCAGGACTGGACGGCAAGTCAAGTAGGTGGCCCCGGGTGGAGGGAGGAGGCAGAGAGCTGCACTGAGTGCTCTCGGGCTGGCAGGGTTCTCATCGGCCTGGACCAGCAGCGCTCCTCATGCGTGTCGCACCAAAGGCAAGGTCAATGTGTGCCTACCCCCTTTGCAGGGACATCCCCTTAGCTTTTCTTCCATTTCCCACTAAAAAAGGTAAAACTGTGTGCCAGCATCCCATGCTTAGAATAGGACCTAAAGGAAACAATTATATTCTCTGTCATCATCTTTAGGCATCTTTTCAGGTCTGTCCCCTTGGTAATAACCCAGGTACATGTAGCCTGATCCCCCTCCCCAGGGCCCTCCTATGGCTCCCTCTGACATATAGACGCTGGCAGATTCCACAGGCATACTCGGAGCCCTCATGCCGAGCCACGGGATCATGAAACCCTGCCAGTGTGGGTCCTCCTTTCCTCCCAGACAAGCAACCTCTCCTTTCCCCAGACTCCTCACACACTGGCAGCCCCAACGTCCAGGAGTGGCTTGGCTCCCCTGTTGCATTAATTACTCAGGACAAAGGGTACTGGAGATAGAGGACTGAATACATGAAAAGCGACTGGGAAGTAGTTCCTAGCTCTTTGACATGAGGCAGAAGTACAACTATGTCACAGGCATCTTTCCTGTCTAAACACTGGTTGAGTGTCTGTCAGCAGTTCGCCGGGACAGTTCTAGCTAGTTCCCCCATCCCATCCCCTGGGATGCATGCTTCCCGCTGGGAAGCCCTTCCTCCTGCCTCCTCCCTCAGCAGCAAGAACAGTAGCAGTGCATGGTTACTGAACAGTTCTGAGGGCGGGGGCCTCTACCTACAGCATTTCATTTTACCCCAATAAAAACCCCATGGGGGGTGAGATGGGGAATGCGCACTCCTGGGAGCCATCTTTAAATTCTCCGATGGTGCTTTCAGTTAGACAAAACAAAGACTTTTGTTATATCGCTCTCCAGGGATGTTTAAAATGCAGTGAACAAGGGGAAAATGGGAATTCTTTCCTCTGGAACTCTGCAATGTTTGGTCAACCCAATTTCTACCTTCCCTGTCTCCTCTACCGTCTCTTCTAGACATGATCTAATGCCCCATCTTGTTATAAATGACAGAGACATGACATTTCCAAAAATGTAATGCAAAATGGACTTCTCTGTGGAGTCTTTAAACACCTGTTCCTATTCTCTGCTCCTCTGGAGCTTTCCTAACTAGCCTTCCTCTGCCTCTTGTTCATGGCCCATGATCATCAACATCTTTTTTCTTTTGTAAATTTTTTTTAACTGTTGTAGAATATATATGTAACAAAAATTTTACTGTTTTAAGTCTCTTTAAGCGTACCTTTCAGTGGCATCCACCATCACCACCGCCCGTCTCCAGAACTTCTTGATCTTCCCAAACTGAAACTCTGACCCACATTACACACTAACTCCCCATTCCCTCTACTCTCCAGTCCCACAACCTGCTTTCTTTTATGAACCTGACTCCTCTAGGAATCTCATCTAAGGGGAGTCACACAAGACTTGTCCTTTTGTGACTGGCTTACTTCACTCAGTATGATGTCTTTAAGGTTCATCCATGCTCTAGCACGAATCAGTATTTACTTCCTTTTAAGACTGGATAATATTACATTATATGTATATGCCATATTTTGCTTATCTGTTCACCTGTCAATTGATACTTGGGCTGCTTCTACTTTTTTGGCTATTGCAAATAATGTTGCTACAAACGAAGGTTTACAAATGTCTGCTTATGTCCCTGCTTTCATCTTCACTGGGGTATATACCCAAAAGTGGAATGGCCAGATCATATGATAATTCTAGGCTTAATTTGTTGAGGAACTGCCATTCTGTTTTCCATAATAGCATTTTACATTTCTTTTTTAAATTCTTATTTATTTACTTATTTTTTAGAGAAAGAATGTGAGGGGGGAGGGACTTGGGGAGAGAGCGAGGGAATCTTAAGCAGGCTCCACACTCAGCGTGGAGCCCGACTCAGGGCTTGATCTCACAACCCTGAGATCATGACCTGAGCCGAAATCAACAGTCAGACACTTAACTGACTGAGCCACCCAGGTGCCCCTCATTTTCCACTCCTATTAGTGCACAAGTTCTTATTTCTCCACATCGTCATCAATGCTATTTTGGTTTGTTTTTTCTTTTTTCTTTTTTGTTTTTTTTCATAATAGCCATTGTAATGGCTATGAAGCGGTATCTCATTTTGATCTTGATTTGTATTTCTCTATTGTCTAAGGATGTTAAGCATCTTTTTTTGTGCTTATTAGCCATTTGTGTCTTTTTTTGAGAGAAATGTCTGTTCAAACCCTTTGCCCATTTTTGCAGTCGGGCTGTTTTTTTTGTTGTTGTTGTTGAGTTGTAGGAGTTTTTTAAAAAATATTCTGGATAGCAATCCCTTGTTAGATATATGACTCACAAATACTTTTTCATAGGTGGCCTTCTCAATCCAGGAATAGTGTCATTTGATGCATCAAAGTTTTTGATTTTTACAAAGCCCAGTCTATCTGTGTGTCCTTTTGTTGCCTGTGCTGTTGGTGTCACATCAACACCTCTTTCTTAAAGGTCTGTTTTCTCCTTCCCACATGTGACCAAACAGGTATCCACAGAGCCAGGCCGTGTTTCCAAATGCAGACATGCACACCACCAGCAGCAGCGCCTCGCCCCCTGTCCTGCTGATGGGACAGGCGGTGCCCCAGCCCAGCTTCCCCGCCTCCAGGCAGTCACCCCTGCAGCCCGCACAGGCCCAGCAGCAGCCACAGCACTTCCTGCAGGTGGGGGCCGCCACAGACATGCGCCTGGGCACAGGGTATAGCTCCACAGCCCCGGCCTGACAGGCCTTTCCCTCCCTGGCTTTCAGGGTGGTTCTAGTCCTCAGTTCCAGAACAAGCCCCAGACAGATTTGCGTTTGAGGCTTTATAGTTTATGAAGTTTATAATACTTAAAGTTTATAAAGTGTTTGTATATTTAGTAGGAGAAATTTAGACTCAGTTATTATGCCTCATACATTATGTGCTTAAAATATCCATCTTTAATGCTATTCCATCTGACAAACACTATTTACAAAATTTGTACCTAGTATGTTTTGTGGGTAGTTTGGAATATGGGAGAGAGTGGGGTAAATTTGAATCAGTAAGATGACTAATGCCTGAAAAAAAAAAAAAGATCCATCTTTAAGAAGGAATTGTTATTATGGTATCCCTATTTTTGAGAGCAAAAGTCAGACACCAATTACTATGTTTGTCAGACTCGTTAGTGTGTTTATACACAAAATCTTATACAAATACAAATTACATCACGTTTAGTTAAAGATTCATCCAACTTGCTTGATAAATACAATAATGTGGCATGAAGTTGGGGCTTTCCAGGAAAATGTGGGGCACTTTCACATATGGTCACTGCTTACTTTAAGCAAGTGCCAAACACACTTTGGAGGGAGTGTGAGAGCCAGTGGTCAACGTTCAGATGGGACTAGAAATGTCAGCTCGGGCTCTGGCCTTCCCTCTGACATATGCCTAGAATACTCCTTCCTGCCCAGCCCTGCCTCTGTCCTTTGCACATCCTCCCGGGCCTCCAGCCCCCACCACAGGGCAGAGCAAGCCTTTCCCTTTGCTCTGCTTCCCTGCTTAGACACCTTCAAAGCCACAAGAGAATGTTGTGACTGAGACATTTTAAGGACAGGCAGGATAAAGATGAAGAGAGTCCTTCCAGAAGGTCTTGAATGCAATTTAATTCCAAAGATGCTAACCCACCTGTGATGTACTTTCCAAGTTCCCTGGCTTCGAGCATAGGGGAAGTTAACTCAAGACTTTAGCTTTATGTATCTTGTCATTTTGTGGGACCCAAGTGATTTCAAATGGGTGCAGGTGAAGAAGGCAGGGATGGTCTGGGCCGAGTTAGAGGCCTCCCACGTCTTTCTGCAGTCCTGGCAGCAAACATGTTGATGGGAATCTGTTCCTCCAAGACATGGGGCTAAGAAGACACAGAGCATTTGGGCCTTCTCGCTGGTCTCCAGGACCTTGTGCTACAATGTGGGGAGAAGGGATGTCCCAGAGAGCAGCCAGGCTTTGGGTTTGTGCCAGTAAGAGCACTGTGGCTGGAGGCCTTCATGGAGGAAGCCCCCAGGGCACCTGCTGCAGAGCCAAAGTGTGGGCGAAGTGAATGGAGAGGACGGGACAGTGTTCCAACAAGAGAGACAGTCTGAGCCGAAGTGGAGGGGCAGGTGTGCCTGGGGTGCACTGGGTGGTTTGGACAGGGGAGATTTCATGGATGGGAAGAGTATGGGATGGGGACTGATGGTTCCAAAGTTAGGATTTGACCAGTTGAAGTTTCTGGGCTTCAAATTAGGATGTTCCCCTGTCGATGCTGGCGAATGGCAGTATTGGGGAGCAGTCACTCAGTCAGGGACCATGGTGAAAAGTATACAGACTGCATGCGTGTTTGGTTTCTGCCCTGTCAATGATCTGCATGTGGTCTCAGGTCCCAACATCCCAAAATATACAGGCCACGTGTAGATCATGCACACTTGTTTAGGAAACCACACCCCAAAGCCTGCTCCCTGGCCCACTGGGACCCAAAGTGCTGGCAGAGAACTTAGCTCAGAATTCACACCCACCTGTCAGAGCCTCAGGCTCCTTTCTTTCCCCCCCACCCAACCCCTAAGGTACCGCCACGATAAGACACCAACCCCCCACCCCCTGCCCTGGCCACCCACAGAGGTGAGTCCTCTAGCTCTTTGTCCTTTCTTTCCAGGTGCAGGCACCAACCTCTCTGCACAGTGAGCAACAGGACTCCATACTTCTCTCCACCTACTCGCAACAGCCAGGGACCCTGGGCTACCCCCCACCACCCCAGTCCTCACGCCCTTCCCGAAGGGTCAGCAGCCTCTCTGAGTCCTCGGGCCTCCAACAGCCACCCCGGTAGAGCCCTGGCGTGTCCATCGGATCACAATCAGCTTTAACCAATGGACGGACCATGGGGGTGGCCGCAAGAATTGGGGAGAGGAGTTGAAACCTTTGGCTTTTGTGCACACTGCATACATTTCAGAACTCCTGGATGGCAACCATCTCCAGAGTACGGTGGCTGGCACGCGGAAAGTGATCAGAATACTGGCCATGTTTCCCTAGCCTCTGTGTTTCTCGGGCACGCTCTACAGCCATACTCGGATGGGAACCGAGTGCCCCCATGTAAGTGTCGTTACTCAGTTCACCTAGCAGATGGCACGGCTGGGCGCATCCTCCCCGAGAGCATGCTGGTCCCTCTAGCCAGCTGTGGTATGTCCACACTTGCTAGCTGGCCTTCACTCTCTTCATCCTCTTTCCTTTGCATTCCAGAAGCACTGGGTCAGAGATCTGTTGAAGAGAGAGAATAAAGAGATTATTTTTCATTATTTTTAAATGGTGGCTTTTGTTTTAATTTGCACAGCTGCACAGAGGAGATAACTTAGGCACTTTCAGGTATTAAAAATAAGTAGGTCTCGCAACTTCACTTGGAGACCACAGGATCAAAAACAGCCCACCAATCAGATGGCAGAGCTGGTGGTTCTTAACCGGACCGCAGACCCATGCCCTCTGGCCTGGAACCCAACAGAAGGAGGCTCTTTCTGGTGATTATTGTCTCCCCTGAATATAACACTGGACTGTTCCTGTTTACTTCCTTGATTGCAACTACAAAGGCGGACTCAAAGCAAAGCACAATCACGCAGCTGATATTCCAGAATTCTATCGGGACCTCCAAGACAGAATTGGAGGAAGAGGTTTCCCAGGCCAGGCAGGCCTGTGGAGCTCCGGGTCCCCGAGGAAACCCCAGCACGCGCCGGCCCCTTGAGTCAGAATGCTGCACCTTTCTACAGATCTTTCGTGAGAAGATCGAGGATTGGATTCTCCTTTTCAAAATGCACTTTGCTTTTTTTGTATGTTTTGTTATGTTGAGATGTTTCTAAAGAAAAGATTTTATGTAATTAAAAGACAAAGTGTAGTGAATTGTACAGCTGTTGTAATAATGACCTATTTCTATATAAAATAAAATTGTAAGAATTATGTGTAAATTATTTTGTATCTGAGACACCAGTTCCTTTCCCGGATCTAAAAGTATAAAGGTTTTCTTGTGTTTTTCTGTGAGTGGCCATTTTGTAATAAATTAACAAATTTGTACAATTTCCTCTGGAGGCAGTTTCTGTCCCTTGTTATCTATGCATGCATACATCTTTTCTTCATTTAAGAAAATTTTTTTTTATTTCAGGATGTTCCCAAGGATAATCCAAGGTAGAGAAAAGGTGAAAACGAGCAATGAATGAACCAGGTAATGGCATTAGGTTTTTCGAGAGCAGCATTTGCACAAACCCTTCAGGTCTTGACCTTCACAATTGAAGGTTGTGCCAGGAAAAAAATATCAGTTGTTCACCGCAAAGATGACAGTACAACAAATAGAAACAACAAAGGCTCCTGGAAACATCTCAGGCTTCCAGACATAGGGTCCATGGAGATGCCAGAGACATTCTGCATCAAGGCAGTCCCAGCCCCTAATGAGCTTCACCCAGGCTGGAGTTCATGGACTTCCCCCGCCAGCACTTAGGTATCAGGGATGCACATCCGGTTCGCGGATCTGTGTATGAGAGGTGTGTACACACATCGTGTTGACTCGGGGAGAGACAACAGCAGCCTCTGGGAGGCTTCTGCCAACCGCAGACATCCCCGCCCTTCCCCATGGGGCTTCATCCCTGAGATGGTGATGCTCAGCACAGCCGTTGCGGCAAATGCTGGTCCAAGAGAACAAAGTTCCTTTCCTTGCTCCATCGCTAGAGCTCCGTGCATCTACCTGCTTCCCCATGAGATAGTGGGAGTGCTCCGTCCTATGACAAGGAGCAGTTTGGGATGGCACGAGAGGCTATATATAGAAAAGGAGTTTTATTGTTCATAGAATTGTATTCCTGAAAAAAAGGTAAGTCTAAACGTTTTGCATGCATTAGGATCAGTTTATTCTTTAAAGGAACCAGAAATAAACCCTCTTTTTATTTATTTATTTACTTCTTTATTTAAGAGAGGGATAGAGAGGGAGGGCGTGCTGAGGGAAAGGGAGAAAGAGAATCCCAAGCAGGTTCCACACCCAGCACAGAGCCCGACATGGGACTTGCTCCCACACAACCCTGAGATCATGACCTGAGCCAAAATCAAGAGTTGGGCGCTTAACCGACTGAGCCACGCAGGCATCCCCATGAGCCCTCTTTTTAAAACAAAAAGTCTGGGGATGCCTGGCTGGCTCCGTCAGTGGAGCATGTGACTCTTGATCTTCGGGTCATGAGTGCGCACCCCACATTGGGTGTGGAACCTATTTAAAATGAAATTAAAAATAAATACATAAAAACGTAAAGGCTGCTTTTAGGCAGTCTTGAGCAATGGAATGTAGAAAGGGCCCACATCGATCCCCTCGCTGAATACAGACAGGCCCATCAGGTGACCCACCTCAAAATATCCAAAGGCCCTAACTAATCAGTGGGCTACTTACCAAAAAGGGAAAATTCCAAATATCACCATACCTCCTCACAATCCCTCTTTAAAAACAGCCCCCTCCCACTACCTCATTGCAGACAGCCTCTCCTTTGCTGTTCTGCCCACTGCTCTCTTGCCCTGTATTCAGTAAATTTCTGTCTCCTTTGTTCTGTCTTGGGCGAAGCCTTTCAGGGCCCACACCACAGGCTTCCACACAATCATGGCCCCACATCTGGGGGCTCCCATCCATTCAGGGGATTCACCACATTTAGACACCACCAAAAAAAAAAAAAAAAAAAAAAAGTCTGTGTGAAACTAGTACTATTTTGGAATTGAACTGTTCTGTAAATTCAAAGGTTTATAAATCTGATCTTTCTGTATTTGAATTTTAATTGGCTGTCAGAATCCTTCTAAGCAAAGTAAGATTTTTTTTAAAGATTTTATTTATTTATTTGACAGAGATCACAAGCAGGCAGAGAGGCAGGCAGAGAGAGAGAGGGGGAAGCAGGCTCCCTGCTGAGAGCCCTATGCAGGGTGGGGAGGCTCCATCCCAGGACCCTGAGATCACCACCCCAGCAGAAGGCAGAGTCTTTGACCCACTAAGCCACCCAGGTGCCCCCAAAGTAAGACTTTTAATGGGAGCAGCATATTTATTGTCCTAGGATTTTCTAGCTGGAAGTCATTGAAAGAGGGTGGAGTATAGCATGCTACTAATTTAATTCAGCATTGCTTAAATCTTATACATATTCAGCATCTGGATAAACTCAGAAAACTTTATTGTGCCACATCTGTTTAAACCCACATAAACATCAGGGGAAACTTAATCCCCAAGCATTTGATTCATTTAATTTTGCTCATTAAAAAGTTGTTTTGCAACCCTGTCTTGTTTCCAGAAAAACCATGACCTTCTCTTTGGAAAACTGCAAAGTCTTGGCTCATGAGGAGGGGCTGAAATGCGAACTCTGGAATACACAAGTTTTGGAATGCTGCTACTGGACACATCTTTTAGCGCCTCCCTTCTGAACCACCACACCCCTTCCATCTTAAAAATCTTCCAGTGGCTTTGCTTAGGAAGTCCCACTGGACCATTCAGCTGAGCCCGAATCTGCCCAAAGACCCTCCAGCATTTAAGACTTGTTGCTCCCTTGAGACCGGGGTCTTCTTCCTTGCTGCCCCCACAGGGTAGCGTTCAGATCCTGTCTCATTTTAACAATTCCCCAGTAATCAGGCAAGAAGCCCAGCTAACAAATATTGGAGACTTGCAAAAGACACAAAGTTCATATTAAAGGTTTTGGTCTGTGGGAGGCAAACAGTGGACTGGCCTGACCCTTGATGCTAGACTGAAACATGAGAGCCTCAGCCAGTCTGGTGGTTATCAGCCCTTCAAACCAAATGGTTTTTATTATTTGTCTGTTTGACCTTTACTTAAAGCAGCAGTTGAGAGCTGAAAGGGAGATTTTGTCAATTTCCAGCAGAGGTGTCTATTTGCTTAAAATTTAACAACTTTCAAGATACAAGAAGATCCTTAAATGTTTCCGAGAAAATAAAACATATCACAAAGGATGACACGTGACGTCTCAACAACCACACTGAAAGAAGACAATGGAGAATGCCTTCAAAACACTGGGAAGAAATTATTTTCAACCTGAAATTCCATACAAGTGAAAGTAATGAATTCAAGGGTTGAATGAAAACCTTCAGATATGTGAGGGCTCAAAAACTTTAGCTCTCATCCTCCCTGTGTTAAGCCACTAAATGGTGCGCTCCTCTGAAGTAAGGGAGTTCATCAAGAATAAAGAAGGCATGGGTCCAAGCGACTGTCTTAGAATCCCCACATTGGTGACATCGTTATTAGGTCTCTCAGAAGCTCCAGAACGATCCCTCTGGGCACCTCCTCAGATCTCCCTGTCATCTCTCAGATACCTAAGCTACTTGTACAACAGGACTGCTTCGTGCTTCCCCGGGTCCCCTGCCTTTTGTTCCCCTCCCTCAGCATGGCTTTATGCCCCAGGAGACAGTATAGGTGGCAAGCATCCCAACCCCATACTCACTCCTCACTCTGTCCTCATCTGGCTCCTTCCCACTCCCAATTGTTCCAGGAGTGAAACTTGCTGATATCACTGATTCTCTCCTGTCTGGAGAATTTAGTGGGTCCATCTCAATATTTGCCTTACTTGAACTCTGTAGCATGCAGAACCTGTTAATCACTCTGGCTTCCTTCTGCCTTAGAATATTTCCAAATAAAGCTTTTCCTACTGTTCTAATGACACGTTACTAATTTCTTCATCCTCTGCTCCCACACCGCTTACATGTAGAGTCTTCTCAACACTGGTCTTCCCTCTCCAAATCCTCTTGATTTTACCTTCTTGCTTAACTATAAAATCAGGCTGCTTCTTTCTAATCCTGCTGCAACTGCCTTAATTCAGATCCTCCTTGTCTCTATTATGTGGTTTCTTTCTACAAGTTTCCTTGCTACTATCCCGCCCCTCTGCTCCTAATCTATTCTTCAGTGTCGCTGAATTGACTCTAAAACAAATTTGATCGTGGCAGTGCCCTCCTGACAATTTCAATGATTCATTTTACCTGTAATACTCAAACTCCCGAGTAAGGCCCCACACTATCTCACCTCCCGGCCTAGAGTCTAGGAAGCCGTAGTGCTTCAGACCATTCACTTGCCTCGCTCCACCACTTCTCTGCCTGGCTACCTCCTGCCCATCTTTCCAGCGCAGCACAAACCTCCCTGCTTTCTGCACCCCGACCCACCCCTGCATCGGGCGGGACACGACCCTCGGGTGGCTCCACGGTCCGGGACAGTAACCACTCGCGTTCAGCAGCACCCCTCCTCAAAGCGAGCCCTGCCAAGGCGGCAGCGGTCTCGAGACCAACTTCTCTGAGACCGCTAGCCAGGCACGGCACCGCACTCAGGTTCAGCAAACGGTGGCCAAATCAGTAAGAGAAAGGGGAAAACAAAGGAGTGTCTTCCTTTTCCTGGCCCTGTTCCCACCCAGCTGTGGGCCTGCCTCTCATATTTTCCGAAGGTTTAGGGAAAGAGGCGAAAGAACCAGCGGCGCCTTTGGGGAGCGGAGAGAACTAAGCTGCTAAAAGCCGGGTGCTGAGAATGCGGCCGGAGTGCGCAGCCGCACGGCCCTGGCCCCGCCCCCGAGGTGCGCTCTCTTTTCCCCCGGCGCGTGCCGCTTACGTCTCAGCGTCTTCTCCGCTTCCAAGCGCATCCACGCTACCCGGAAGCTGTACTTGTGACGCTTCTTTCCCTCTCCCACAATACCTCGCGCTCTTCCTTTCCAACCCGGGCCCGGCAGAGTGAGTATGGGCGCTGCATCCTGGCTTCAGGAATCTGGTTCCATCCTCGCTCGCGATTGTGCTGACCGGGACAGCGTGATTTCTCCTAGGCCGGCCCGGGACTCTGCGTCCCGGGGGGACGGGAATCCGCGCTGTTGAGGGGCTCCCGTAGCCTGGGAGACTGGCCAGGCTTAGGGGAGCCGAGCCTGCAGGAGTTTCCGGGGCGGGAGCACCTGAGGGGCACGGGTGCTTTGGCCGCCGGGTGACCGGCTTGACTTTGCCCATACCTGGGGCTTCAGGTTCCTGGCGGAACCCTCTGCACCCGGACGCGCCCGGAGGGTGGCAGCGTGAGGCCGGGCTCGGGAGGGAGGACTTGGCTTGTGCTGGTCCCACTCTGCTCTGAACTTCCTTGTCGCTGGGTTTAGATGGCTCCCGCGAAGAAGGGTGGCGAGAAGAAGAAGGGCCGTTCTGCCATCAACGAAGTAGTGACTAGAGAATACACCATCAACATTCACAAGCGCATCCATGGAGTGTGAGTATCCCTGCAGTCGGGCCCGGTGCCTTGCAGGTCGGGGGACCCGAGCTCATGCGTCTGGTTGTCACTCGGAGGTCTTTCTAGTTGTCGAAAAGCCAGATGGTGTTGAAATTGGTTATTTTTCCTTTGGAAACTCAAATCTGTATTCCATGGCCCCCGTTTAAGGTTTATAAGGTTTTAGTGTGTAATCCTCTGAGGGTAAAGGCTGGAAACACGAGATTGAATAATAGTTTCTGGGAGAGCCCGTTGAGGGGAACTTGGTGATGGTAAAAACATTTCACTTGGTGATTTGTAAACTGAGTAAACCTGTCTGGGCTAAAGGGTAAAAGATGTGTAAAGGAAGGAAAGCAAGCTTGTGAAAATGTCTCTAGACCCAGTAAAGCTAACATATTAACTAAAAAGCTGTGTCCAGCCCAGAATGTGAACAATTAAGATTATTCTATATTTTAGATCCTGACCCACACAAATATGTACTAATACTGGTTGAGAGGTAACACTAGAAAAACAGAATGTTGTTAGAGAATGTATCAGTGGAGTTATCGGGCAATGTTTGTGCAAAGGACACATGGCTGTTGTGGATTTGTGATGTATGAGAATATTGAGAATGATTTTGAGTGTTGTAGTTTTTGGTGTTTTTTGTCTAGGGTTTGGTTTTCAGTCCTTAAGTTTAGTGAGTTGTCCCGCTTCTGCGCATATGCTTACTGCTGAGAATGAAGACCAGATCTCTTGAGTACTGTTTATTTAGAGTATTTTTTAAAGGTAGAATACTAATTTTAAAACCTACATCCACAAGCAAGCCCATTTCCCCCCATAGCACATTTGTATTATTTCCTATTTGACTTCACTACATGCTTGTAAAGAAAGAGTAACCTTAAGCTGAGAAAAGAATTACTTTGGTTCAGAATCTATAGCCCCAGTTTGCAAAAACTTTCTCAAGTAGTTCTGCCAAGGTTCTAACCGGATAGGATTCTCCAGTCTCAACTTGGACTTTAAGTAATTTTTCCTTAATTCTAAAGTTCACAAAATGTTTCCATAGATAAAAGACACCAAAAGCAAATACAGAATTGAAATGAGAAGGTGACTCATCTAGATTCTCAGGCATTGAGGTAGTATTTTTACACTGATCTTTACATAAAAACAACATTGAAATAAGCTGGAAAGTTGTTTGGCTTTTAAGTCTCGTCTGCTTTCTGTGCTGTAGTTTGTTGGCAATCTTTCTCAAAGTTAAAATAAGACAACATACTAATGTGGAGCTGTTGGTGCCTGAACACGAATTTTGGTTAGCATGTTAGCTATAGCAGTCCAGCCAAACAGCTGGTCAGGTTAAAAATAGAGCTTCAGAATCAAGACTAAATTTTAATTGAACTGCCTATAGACTCACATTGGAGCCCCTTATTTTTGTCTCTTGCCAAAAGTCCTGCTCTTGAGGACGAAGTGTCTAAAGTCAGAATTTCGATATTAAGCTCCTCACAGTAATAGAGGAAAGCGTGAGTGAAATTCGTGGGCTAAATTACAGTCCACGCCTTTTGCAGAGAGGGGGAAAAATCTTGTTAACTGGTTAAGGTAAGACCCACACAAATTCTGTTCTCCTTAACAACCATTCTGTAAAATGGTAACGTATGACTGATAATCTAGAAACCAGAAACCTGGAGTGAGGTTGAGATTGGTTTAACTTGGCCCCCTGAAAGTCATGTACCAGGGCTGAGGGGTGGTTCTAAGTAGATTTGCGTGTTGGTGATGAGCCTTGGGGAAGGCCTAAGTGTGTGCAGAAACAAGACAGGAACATCCCTGCGTTCTGGCTAATATTGTCTTCAAACTGTCAGTGGATAGAAGCAAAGTCCCTAACTGGACATTTTTGTCCCCAAAACCTCTTCAGCTGGAGAATTTGGTACTAATTGGCCTGGAGGAAAGTAATGAGACCTGGCCAATTGGTAACCCTGCTTCCCATCTCCTAATTTTGTATGCATATATCTCTGTTCAGTGAGAAGTACAGTACTCCACGGTATACCTACAGAATTCGTCTTCACCATTCCTCTTCCAGTCACGTTCTTGCACACAGGAACATCAGCACCAGAATCAACAATAGAGAGGACGACCAGAGTCCCATAAGTCATTAGAAATAAGTTTCTTAGACAATTATCATATCTCCCTGATATGAGGAAGTTGAGAGGCAAAGTGGGGGATTTGAGGGGTAGGGAAGGAAAAAAATGAAACAAGATGGGATCGGGAGGGAGATAAACCATAAGAGACTCTTAATCTCACAAAAACTGAGGGTTGCAGGGGGGGGGGGGGGGGGGAGAGAGAGAGGGTGGTTGGGTTATGGACATTGGGGAAGATATATGCTATGGTGAGTGCTATAACACTGAACGTAAAATTTGCCAATAGTAAATACATATTCAGATAAGGGATACCATATCCCTTTTCTTTCACTGAATAGATCTTGAAATAGCAGTGGACTTGAAAGATGATGAGGTGATGGCGAGGGGCACTTGTTCAGTCTTCCTTTGAAACACTTGGAAGTCTGTCATGTTTTCTTCTGCAGGTCTTTCTCAGAAAATGCAGGTAGTTCAGAAGTAAATGACCAAAACCACAAATCACTCCTTGTAGAATACCAGCACTCTTATTGCAAGTTTTTGTAACAGCATCCAGTTCAAGAACCAAAGTGACTTCCCTTTCTGGTGTTCCCTTCAAGGCCAGTCAGCCTCTGAATCCTCTGACCAGGGAAATCCTGATACCTGATGTAATGCAATTCCTGGAGGCGTGCAAGTCAGTAGAGGCCCCGGGAAGGAATTTGAAGAGTCAGAGATTTTTGTTCCCTTTCCTTGTTAGCCTGGAATTCCAAGCCATGCCTTCCAAGGCTTTTAGCTAAGGGAGATGATTTTAGTTTAGTTGAGGCAAACCAATACCTTTGAATTTTCCTTTGTTATTTTCCTGAAGTAGGCTCTTTTCACTAGTGATTGATGGGGTCCCTTATGTTAATATTATGAATGCATGAGGGAGAATGTTTATTTAACAGATGGAATACAGTATATCTTAGTTTTTTCATTCACTCTAACTCTGGACTCCTGGGATAGTCACTGTTTGAGAATTAATAGCGGGAGCCACCGTAGAAAGATTGTGCATAAGGGGGGTTATTGGCATACCTGGATTTCTCGTGTGATCCACAGTGCCATTGCAGCAACTTCTTCAGTCTCTGGAAGGCAGTGTTTTGATGTGGTTATTGGTGTTTTTAATAGCAAATGTTACACCGCAAAACAGTCTGTTGAGGCACCCAAGGGTGGTACAAAATTTCTTGCCCTGTACTGGGCATTCTCTTATCTCAGGAAAACTAATTTTTTTTTTTTTGAAGATTTATTTATTTATTTGACACAGAGAGATCACAGGTAGGCAAAGAGGCAAGCAGAGAGAGAGAGAAGGAAGCAGGCTCCTGCCAAGCGGAGAGACTGATGCAGGACTCGATCCCAAGTCCCTGAGATCATGACCTGAGCTGAAGGCAGAGACTTAACCCACTGAGCTACCGAGGCACCCTGGGAAAGCTAATTTTATGAGGGATTTAAATGTGTGGTGGTACCCACATTGGGCCTGGTACCTGACTGCATTTCCATGTGTGAGCCAAGGAACATTGTGTGCGGTGTCTCGCCTGGGGGTCCCTGAGGATGGCTTCTGGGCCAAAAATCCCGTGCCTTTGTGCATTAATGCTGCTAGGGAGTAACCACGTTTTCTTTCCTGGTTTGGGGAGCATATCAAGCACTTAACTGACTATTAGGCACAGTCCTGGACTCTGCAGATTGATCAGGAAATTGAAGACCCTATCTTTCTAGTTTACTTAGTAGGAAATTTAGAAATGAAATGGTAAAAAGTGCCAGGCAGAAAGTCCACACAGATGATGGGACGATTGAAAAGTGTCGGTGTGAAACAAGTTTTTCGGGCACTTTGTGCTTTATTATAAAACCCCCAGATGAAGACCTGAATCCTTTGGCCATTTCTTAGTCCTCCTCGACAGGTAACAGTTGATAGTTTATTCTTCATTTTTCTGTGGAAATGTTTTATTCATTTTACTTCCAAAGAGTCTACAGTATTGTGCTTTTCTTATTGCTCCTCTAGCTGCTGACTTTGTGGTTCTTCCTCATGTCCTCTTTTTAAAGATATATTTACTTGAAAGAGAGCGAGCGGGGTTTGGGGTGGGGGGGTGGAGTGCAAAGGGAGAAAGAATGATAAGCAGACTCCATGCTGAGCATGGAGCCCAGTGCGGGGCTCGATCTCGATCTGAGCCAAAAGCAAGAATCGGATGCTTAACTGACTGCCACCCAGGTGCCCACCACCACATCCTCTTGATCCTCTTTCCAACGTTCTCTTAATGTTGATGAACCCCGGAACTCTTTTCCATCTATGCTTGGTAATAGCAAGTAGTCTTAAGGCCTCAAACATAAAACTACTGTTCATTTGGGTATTTAGGCATCGCACACCAATCTCCTAGCGTTCATCTTTATCCCTGACTTTCCCATCTCTTGAGGCTTTCCCTGTGTTAGTCATTGTCAAGTGAGCGTGTCCTCTTGGCTCTACCTTCCAGTTTTACCAATCGCACTGGTCCCACCACCATTCTGTCTCTTGAATTGTTAGAGTTAGCAGCTCCCTGCTCCTGGTTCCCTCCTTCACCCCCAAACACCTGGTCCATTCTCAAACCCTCCCGGCTTCCCATCTTAATCAGATTCTAGAAGCCCAACTTCTTGCTCTGATTCCACGAGCTGGCTACTTTATTAATCATACCAGGCATGTACCTGATTCAGGGTAGCTGGTTTTATTTTTACTCTTTCCTTCTGCCTGAATGCTTTTCTCACAGATGCCTAAATGGCTGCTCTCATAATCTACACATCTTGAATCCACTATCATCTTGGCCATTTATTTAAACCTGTATTCCCTTTCCCTGATGCTCCCTCTCTCTCTTCCCCTGGTTTATTTTTCTCTGTAGTACTTGCTACTATCTCATACACTCTATGTATCACCTACATGAGCTACCTGAATAATTGGATTTTGTCTGTTGGACCTACTGCTGTTATTTCAGGCGCCTTTTATTTCTGGATGGTCAAGTGTTTAAGTGAATGAACTGCGCTTGCTTGACAGGTTCTAGAAATAGCAAGGAGGTTGAGGGTAGAGCAAAGGGAATGGGAGACTAAGAAGAGGCGGAGTGGGGTGGGAAGGCAGTCATCTTTCCCAAGCATGTGAAATCACTGAAGGTTTTAGAGCAGATTTAACTCTAACATGCTGGTGTGTTACTTACATTGGATTTCATGAAATTCACTCCATCTAACAAAAGTGGAGTACCTAGTATGTGCCAGGCCCTGCATTGGGTTACAGAGATGAAAGGTTGACTTGGCCCCTTCTTTGACCTTCACAGTCTTAGGTGGTAGTACACCTTTTTAGACCGGGGTCTTTCCCCACATCCCGAGAAATAGCCTTCACTTGTCCAAATGGTTGAAGCCTGTAGTGAAGTTGTTGCTTTTTCACATTGTTTAACTAAAAACATGAAATTCAAATGACTTTATATACCCTCATGTAGAACAACAAGTACTTAAGAGTTGGAACTGACATGAATTAATGACGTGCTGACACATGCCAAGAGCTTCATTGAATTAACTCTTGTTGAGAGGAAATGTGTACAATTTTGGGCCCACCCCTATTCTTTAAGCCAAGACCAAGTTAATAATGAACCTTTGAATTAGTATTGAATGATGCTCAAAAACATGCCATGTCTTAAGATGTAACAGTCTGTATTTTGAAGTGAAGACACTTTCATAGTATGTATGTTTTATGTTCAAGCATATCCTATTATTAGCATTTCTTAGGATCAACTACAGAGCTTCTTTCCCACATCACTAAAAGTGGATTGTGCATTTTCTATGTCCCCAGTATTAATACTGGCTGCTGGGCATTAAACTGTGGTATAAAAGGGATTATTCCTATTTAAGGTTTGGCTTAGATTTTATGAAAATAGGACAGAGCATGTTACATATTTTATTTAATTCATTTTTTTACTTTGACTCTCAGGGGTTTCAAGAAGCGTGCCCCTCGGGCACTCAAAGAGATCCGGAAATTTGCCATGAAGGAGATGGGAACTCCAGATGTGCGCATTGACACAAGGCTCAACAAAGCTGTCTGGGCCAAAGGAATAAGGTGCTAAAGCTATTTGTTATAAATTCTTTTTTTATAAAACTTTTATAATTACACTAGCTTTTAACCAGTTCTACACAATCTGTGTAAGTTCAGTAATTAGCTAATGCATATGGAAGTATTTCTTTAAGATGTGATGATGGCTTCAAAGGGTGGGGTAGCATCTGCAGGGAAGCCCTTTTGATACGGTATTGGAACGGAGACCCAGATGATGGAGGAGCCAGCAGTGGAGGGTTGAGTAAGAGCACTGCACAGAGAACAAACTTGGTGTGAGCTGGGAACAGGTTGGTGAAAGTAGAGTAGAATAAGTTGGTGAAAGTAGAGAAAGTAGAGTAGAATAACAGGTTGGTGAAAGTAGAGTAGAATAAGATTTGAACAATGAGGATAGAGTTAGGAAGGAGATAGACCATGTGGCATCTTGTAGGTCATGGCAGAGAGGTTGGATTGATCTCTAGACAAAATGGGAAATCATTGGCACAGTGTTGTTTTTTTTTTTTTAACAGTAGGCAGTTTTGCCCACCCTCCCCCAGGGGGCGTTTTTGATGTCATTTCTGGGGATTGCCACAGGTCTGGGGCTTTGCTATATATCCCAGTTGTCAGTAGTGTTAAGGTTGAGAAGTCCTGCTTACAAGCAGGGGTGTGGTTTTTGCTGTGGAGGATGATGTAGAGTGCTAGAGTAGACCTGGGTGATTAGGAGGCTGGTGGAACTGTCTGCATCTGTGTAGTATTTCATCAGTGGGGTGAGAGGGGTCTGAGATTCAGCTTTACTGTGCTGGCATTGAGCATTCACACAGAGGAGTGTTTGATAAAGGAGTGGCCAAAGAGGTCCCTTAAGATGATGGGGGAGTTGGGGAGATGGGGAGGAGATAACCACAGTGGCATTATTGTGGCCTGAGTGAGAGGAGAGGCTTGTGTGTATAAGGTAGGGGAACTGAACAGTCTTTAGTCTTCTGTATTGAATGTAGCCTGCAGGGTGGTGTTTCTGCAAATCAGCACTGAACATAGACAAATCCCCTAACAAAGATGGGGGTACTGGTGGTAAAAGGAGAAAGACCTAGCATGTTTGGGCCCATGTTTCTTCATAGGTTGAGTATCAGCGGTTGCTGTCTGCTGAGACAGGTGTACATCCTGAGATGGTAGCATTTAACATCCATCCATCTGTGGCTCTGTATATTTTCCAGGGGACTGGACCCATAGTGCTTGAGCAGATTCAGATTCAGGACAGAGCATTAGAAGCATGTTACAGATGGGATGGGAGCTGTCAATACTGTTGGCAGCTGTTTTCTTGATAGGAGACATTGACTTTAGTGGCACATTCATATTTTTATTAGGAACGTTCCATACCGCATCCGTGTGCGGTTGTCCAGAAAACGTAACGAGGATGAAGATTCCCCGAACAAGCTCTACACACTGGTCACCTATGTACCTGTCACCACTTTCAAAAGTAAGTTTTACTCCATCCTGCAAAGCTGTTTGGATTAAAAAAAGCCATCCTTACCCCTTTGAAAACCCGAATTATGTGTCTTAAATACTTAATTGTGCTTCTGTATGCCCAGCATCCTTTTAATAAGGAAATGGGTAACAGGCATAATCAATAAACCTTTGTGTCATGGTGTGGAGAAGTGGAGGAGAATACAAAACAGGTCGATATCTCGGTTATAAAAAGTTCCCAAAATACTAGCCGAAACCCTTAAGAAAAGTTTTTTGCAATGTTCAGGCGTGAAGTGTGGTATGGAAGTTGACTGGCCATCTCTTCTTTTGCAGATCTACAGACAGTTAATGTGGATGAAAACTAATCGCTGATTGTCAAATAAAGGTATAAAACTGCTTTCTGTTCTGATTTTCCTTTTATAGTTGTAGTATACAGTTGACTTTTGAAGAGCATAGAGATTAGAGGCACAGATTCCCACATAGTCAGCTACCCAAACTTTACCAGTAAAGTAAGCTAGAGAAAATAATATTAAATCATGAGAAAATATATTTACAGTACTCTATCAAAAAAAAAAAAAATCCACATATAAGTGGACCCTCACATAGTACAAGAGTCAACTGTAAGATCTCTGCAGTTCCCAATTACATAGGATCATTTGGAGAGCTTTTCCTAAATGTGCCCCCTTCTCCCCAGCCCCTGGGGTTTCTGAGCATTTGGGTAGAGCCTAAGCAGGTTTTCGAAGGTGTTATGGAAGTGCCGCCTGGCCTGAGAAAACATTTTAGGTATCTGGGACATTGGAGGTATACTGTTAATTCCAAGGAACATTTTTCTAGAGACTGGCATCTAGAACTCAATTAGCATTGGCCACTGTTCACATTTGAACTTTAAGTGATGCAATTGATAGATTTAATGAAATAATATTTGGTAGTATATCCCTAAGCTGTTTGTATTAAGTATGCTTGTCTAAAGGTATAGAATAGTCTGATTTTTGATGGGTAACCAGATTATAGCTTAGGTGTACAATTCATACCATATGTACAGCTTACCTTTTTGTAATGGCCCCCTGAAGTGTTTTTAATCCCAGTTTACATGGACCTGAATCACAGAGGGGGGAAAATCAGCTAAATTCAGCCTGAAAGCAAGTGTCACAAGGATTAGATTTCTTTAGTGCTTATACCCCAACATACTGAATGTTGCTATAGAGAGGTCCCTCTTTGAAACCCCAGGGGTGAGGGTGGTACATAAGCACAGTGGGGGTTGAGGACCACCTACAGTGTATAGCACAGCTCACGGAGAACACATACAAGTGAGTGGCAAGAGATCCTTCTAGACACAAGTACAAATTATAAGCAAGAACCAAGTCAATACAAAAATTTCTTTATTAAAAAACTTGGAGGCCAACATTGAAAGCATGGTTTGTACATATTTTTGGAAGGACAAAGTGAATACAACCAAATATATTAAAATGGTTTCAATTACCAGCATTGAAACAAAATTAGTGCAAAAAAGCCAAATATAATTGCACAGAGAGTGGTTCTTGGATCTTCAAAGTGAACTTGATATGTGACCTCTCCCATTATCCAAGTGAAAAATGAGAGCTTTTGTCTGTGGTTTAGTATACATCTGACTCTTCTATTCCATCTGAGAATGAAATCATATTAGCATCGCAGCAGAAGTGCCCTGAAATCTCAGCAAATCTGATAAAAGTGAAATTTGCAAGTCACAGCATCAAGGGAACTAATGTATGGATACCCTATAGCTCTGGTAATATCCAACTAATAATTCTCAAAGAATAAATAGAGATGCTTGAAGGTTGCATCAATTCCCCTGGCCACAGCTGTGACTGTCCAGTTGTTTATCCAGATACCCAACTTGTGTAAAATACACTCAGAATGTTTTCGACTAAAATCTGGATTTTAGGGCTGACAACCCACAAAACTGTTCCGTGCTTTGGTATGGCAGACTCCCCTCCACAAACTGCTCTCTTGCTACAGGTTACCCAGCTTGAGTTCAGGCTGTGATTGGCGGCTCATTTCCAGAGTTTTGAGACTGTACTGATTGATCTTGGCATTTTCAAGTTTGGATTTAATGTCCAGTGGCTTTTCAAAAAAGTTGACTAGTGACTGTTCAGTCAGAAGTGAAGCTAAAATATGTTCAAGGGACACAGTCCAGTCCCCTTCTGCCTCTTCAGGAAATGTCTGGGAGTCCTGGGCAGTCCTCCCAGGGCTGGCATCTGCAAAAACCGAGTCCTGCTCTGGAAAAAGAGCTGAAGCCCGCAGCTCCTCCCCACATTCCTGGGAGCAGCTTCCAGAGCTGCTACTTCGCTGCCCCACTTCCCCGATTTGCAGCAGCAGAGTGGTTACCGTGGCAATGGCTTGATATAAATCATTTTCTTCTGGATCTTCATGGAACATACTGTACAGAGTCTTACAGAACTGGATAAATTCTCTCTGGAATTAAAAGTATATATGGCAGCATAACCAGGATGGAAGTAGAATGCATTTTTTTTAGACCTCATACTAAGTTCTTAGAGAAAACCCACATCATACCATTAGAAGCAATTATAAGGAAAGGTAGTTTAGCCCTTCTACTTGGAGAACATACTACGGTAAACAGTGACTCCAGGGACTTTCACCACACACTCAGAAGTGGGCTCTTTGTCTGTACAGCAACTATTCAGAAAGGTGTGCATCCTAGAGGACATGGGCACCCTTTAATCTTATAAATCAGCCTGTAGAGAGGGATCCAGAAGCTGTGGAGATTTGTTTATAATGATCTTTAATCTTGGATTTACAATAGAAAAAAGTTGGAAACAGCTTAAATACTGTGACTGACTAAATTAGAGCTTTTTCATCTGATAGGAATACGACGGGGTAACTAAAAGCTGTAAAGTGAAATAATGAAAACAGTGATGCCTGATGCATTTCCAAGTTGTATCCACACTGCTGCTCAATTGGAGAATCCGTATGTAATGCGATGGAAGACACTTCCAGTGGGATTTAGCTGTATATTTATGCTGGGAATAGGGTCATGGTTGAGAACTGAGTTTTAGGAGAGATCTCCATGATTTTGAAGTAAATGAAAGCAAGGTGTTAAGACAGCCTATTTTTTGTTTATAGCAAAAACTGTTATCACATATATCAGAATATTAGTACTGGCGGCTCTGGGGGATGAGATTAGATTTGACTTTTTTTTTTTAAATTGAGGCATAACTGACCAGCAGCTTTGAAATGTGACTATATCCAAGAGATAGGATGAAAATTTGAAACTCCCCAACACTTCTGACTATTCCAGGAGGGTGTTAAGGCCACATGATACTGTGGTCAAAAAAGACCCAAGAAACACTGCATTGCTAAATTCCACTCTTGAAGGCTCACAGTACACATTAGCACCAAACAGAATGAAATCCTTTAATAAAGGACCATTTCCAACTTGGACCCTACGTTCCACAAACTTTGGGGGTAATCTTTTTCAAATAAAAACCTAGCACCAGGGGCACCTGGGTGGCTCAGTGGGTTAAAGCCTCTGCCTTTGGCTCAAGTCATGATCTCAGGGTCCTGGGATATAGCCCCACATCATTGGGCTCTCTGTTCAGGGAATCTTCTTCCTTCTCTCCCTCTGCCTGCCTCTCTGCCTACTTGTGATCTCTGTCAAATAAATAAGTACAATCTTTAAAAAAAAAACAACAAAAACCTAGCACCATCAGGGCACTTAAATACAGTCTAGATACTGTTCAGAGGTTTCAAAGAGCTTTACCAGTACTGTATATTATAGTACCAATGATTTTTAAGAAACTGAAGAGAGAATAGTAATCCCTTCTAAGGAAGAAAGCTGTGTCCACAGTACCCTCCACCCCCAAATGCTATCACCTCTAGGCAGTAAATCTTCATCGCAACCTAGGTGAATAAAGGAGGAGTAGGATATAAATACTTGAAAGATAGGATATGGCACAGCTGCCCTTTGTGAAGTGTTTAGAATAGCTTGTGTATCTGAATCACAATTCAAATATTTCCCTTGTAATCACAACATTCAACTCCTGTAAGTTGTACAAGATCCTTTGATTATTGCTTCAGAGGTTGAGGGGCCCAGCTTAACTTTATCAAGCTTGGCTCTGAACAAATAACTTGACACAACAGTTACCTCTGCACCTAAGTCCATACCTGGCTCATTTTGGGCAATTCTTTCTCAGTTTTATCTTTTTCTTTGGCTAAATCCTTAATCATTTGCTTCAACTGTTTCTGGTAATCAGTTGCATCACCTGGAGACACAGGAAACACAATATATACTTTAGGCTAAAATTCAGTTAAAGCAAAAAAAAAAAGAACACCTTTAGAACTGGGTGGTGAGGGAGGAATCCCACCAGACAAATTTCATACACAAGCTGAAAATAGAGATTACATTGGTGACAATTTGTTTTACAACTGACCATGAATGGAGTGTGGTGGCTGGATGACTTATCACTGCAAGAGAATCCTTGAAACCCTAAGCAAGAGGAACAATGGTGGTAGGGTCAAGGGGCAGTCACCCAGTATACTGCAACTTGAAAGGTTTCTGGCCTCTGAAAGCAGTGGGCTGTTGACTAGGTTAAGTCTGCTTCTAAGAGCTGTGAAATTGTTAATGATTGCAATGTGTGCCTGCTGCAAGATAATGAAAAGAAGTACATACCATTTGACTTCCCAAAAACTAAGGGTCTTGATGTTGACAATAGAGGATTCTTTAATGGTGACTGGCTGTCTCGATCATTTTCAGTCAGTGCTTTAAAAAAAAAAAAAAGTTACATGGAAAAATTACATGGAACAAATTATTTCATCTTACTTAACCCAAACTCAGTAATTTAGTTTCTTATGTAAGAAAGGACTAAAGAAGGGCTAAGCCCCCAGCCTGTGGGTTGCAGAGACTGTGAACCCAGGCATACACCAAGCACAGTCTATACAAAGAGTAAAGAAAACATCTTACAGACCGGATAATGCCTTTTTCCGGCTTTATGTAGGTACTGTTTTAATTAATGAAATACAGAATCATAGGACACTGCCAATATGGACCTGGAAAAATGTAGTAAAATCCTTTCCTAAACCTTAAGATACATGTATGTATATACATATAAATTTTAGAAATAAATGTACAACTAAATTCCTGGATGATAGGGTAATTTTCAGTTTCATGGCATTTTTTTTCTACAGTGAGCACATACTGCTATATTTAATAAATTTTCAACAAAAATTGAAAAAGAATTACTGAATCCAAAGCATTTTATCATAAGTTTTCTTGAAATATACAAAAACACAGAACATTATATTGCTGATAATATAAAATGGCACAGCCATTTTGAAAAAAAAGTCTGGCAGTTTGTTAAAAAGTTAAGCATAGAGTTACCATTTGACCCAGAATTCCACTCTAACATACTACCAAAGGGAAATGAAAACATACTCAACTCAGAAACTTGTACACAAATATTTATAGGAGCATTGTTCACAAGGGCCAAGAAGTGGCAACAAACCCAAGTGTCCGACTGATAGATGAGGGCATACCTATCAAATGGACTATCAAATGCAGTTATAAAAGGAATAAGCACTGGGACATGCTACAACATGGATGAGCCCTGAAAACACGGGAGCATGACACAAAATGGCACACTGCATTATTCCATTTATAAGGAATATCCAAAAATAGGCAATTCTATAAAAAAGGAAAGCAGGGCAAAATGGGTGGATTGGGAGCAAAAGCCAAAGGGTATGGACCTTGTTAGGGTGATGAAAATGTCCAAAACTATGACGGTTATATAACTAAAGATAACAAAATCACTGAGTTGTGTATATTTTAAATGAATGTACTGTATGGTATGTGAATTATAGATCAAAAAGCTCTTACAAATAACAATTACAAAGTATTACGGACTCAGGATCTTCATATTTACTAATAAATCAGCTGTAATCCAACAAATATCCCCAAGATGGCACCAAAGCCTTGATAAGCTGATGTTCATATTTGGGAGATAGGTTTCCTGCGTTCGGTGGGTGGGAGCTGTTTGTGGAGTTTGGGGGTTTTTCTGTAACTGATACTAAGTCATTTTTACCAACCTTGTATAAAACTTACACACATTGGCACATGTTGAGCATCCACTCAAATTGTAAGCCCTGTATGGTCGTTGGGGAAGTCATGATGAAAACAGATTTTTTAGGTAATAACTGCTAGATGTCAAGAGGATACTGGGTCCCTATGCCTCAGAAATGTGAAACGTATACACAAGTCACTAACAAAATGCTCTAACAGAAGAACAAATACAACCAATGGTCTTGGGAGCATAGCAAGGAATGGTTAATTCAAGTGGAGAGCAAGTGTCCAGAAAGGCCAACCAACCACAGAGCAGCACACTTCAAGGAACCCTTGTGCATGGTTGGTGGGAAAGCAAATATCCAGCCACTGTGGAAAACAGTATGAAAGAATAAAAAATCTACCCTATGGTTCCAGTAACTGCACTAGGGGCATTTATCCCTAAAATACAAAAACATTAAAGGGTATATGCACCCCTATGTTTATTGCAGCATTTTTGGCTATTACAACAGCCAAACTATGGAAGCAGCCCAAATGTCCACCATCTGATGAATGGACAAAGAAGATATGATACACACATACACATACACAGAATTATCACTCAGCCATAAGAATGAGATCTTGCCATCTCATTGTGTAACAGCATAGATGGAGCTAGAGAGTATATAATGCTAAAGCAAAGTCAGGCAGAGAAAGACAAATAGCATATGATTTCACTCAGATGTGAAATTTAAGACACAAAACAAATGAACAGAGGGGTTGAAAAAGACAAACCAAGAAACAGACTCTTAACTATAGAAAACAAACTGGTGGTTACCAGAGGGGAGGTAGGGGAATGGGTGAAGTAGGTGATGGGGATTAGGGGTACCCTTCTCATGGTGAGCACTGAGTAATGTACAAAATTGTTGAATCACTCTGTTGTACACCTGAAACTAATAAAACACTTTAGGAAGATAAAAAGTTAGAATTCCATCTTTACCATCTTTGTGATTTTTCTATAAATCTAAAAGTTATCCCAAAATAAAACGCTTATTTAAAAATCGAGATGAAATAATTGAAATAAAATCAAATCCTGTTTAGCAATATTAGATACAGACAATGATTGTGAAGAATGACAATGATAGTAGAGGATAATTATGCATGTCTTCTATGTTAGTAGGAAAACACTTGTGAAAAATAAAGGCAAATTAAAAAACTAAACTCGGGGGCGCCTGGATGGCTCAGTGGGTTAAAGCCTCTGCCTTCAGCTCAGGTCATGATCCCAGGGTCCTGGGATCGAGCCCCACATCAGGCTCTCTGCTCAGCGTGGAGCATGCTTCCTCCTCTCTATCTCTGTCTGCCTCTCTGCCTACTTGTGATCTGTCTGTCAAATAAATAAAATCTTAAAAAAAATAAAAATAAAAAACTAAACTCACTAACACTGGCATAAAAGGCAAAGAACTTCACTGATGTCAAACCATTTGCAGTTGAGGAATAACAAGTATGTGGGAAGGCAGAGGAAGAAGGCTGCTACAGAATGCTCCCGGGGCACACTGCAGTTGTCCAGTTGGTAATGGCTCAGTTTCAGGAAGTGGACCAAGAAAGCCACAAATGATGTCATATGCATTTCCAACTTTTCCAGAAGTGTCGGTTGTAAAAACCACCAGGATCTCATGGCCCCCAAAACTTTCCTAGCCTCCCTCATTGGAAGTTCTGTCAGGGGCCCTATCCAACACCAGACCATGGCCCTGGGGTCCAGAGACCATGCTGGCATTACTAACCCACCTCTGTGACTTCAAAAGATCCAAGGAATAAGGTTAAGGCCAAGTATGACATCATAGGTTTCAAAACTGTTTTCTTTGTTCCCGGTTACCTGCTGAAACTTGAGGGAAGCGTGGACTTAAATGCCGGAAGAATGAAATGGTCCTTCAAAAGAGGAGGCTTAAGTAACCATCTATTAAGGCAACCAGGGTCTATTTCCCCACACACTCCACAAGCCAGCGGTTACCAAAGTGTGGTCCTCAGAACCAGGGAGCTGGAAACACTGGAGCGGCGCCCAGGAACCTGGGTTTTAACAAGCCCCCCAGATGATTCTGATGCATGCTCAAGTTTGCCAACTGCTGTCATAGGCCATACAGCCCAGTAATGAAAATTTGTTATCAGCAACCACAGATTAAAAACATCTGTTGACCCAAGTCTAAATGGAATTTTAAAAGAGAACTTCAGAGTCACATACAAGGCTTACTTGTGTCAAAGCAGAACAGAACTTAGATTTTCTCCATAGAATTTCTTACCTGGAGGGATATGAAGTCTATATAACAGTTTGATTTTCTCATTCATTTCTCCATTATACATAACATCTGCAAAAAAAAAAAAAAGATTGAGAGAAAATGAGGAGATGCAAATG